ACTTCCAAGTTCTCCTTCCACAGCCTCTACTGCACACAAGAGAACAGGTGAAGGACAATTGGTGCCCTTGGAGTCTAGTCCGACAGCCAACGTGCGATCAGGAAGCCACTTCCTGGGAAAGGGCCTGGTGGGTCCTCTCATTAATAGAAGAACTGTGGCACAAACTAATGAAAATAATGTACCACACTTTAAATGGACACATATCATGTTACACTGAGGGTCTCTGCATCCATGAACATGGCATAGCATGCATGCATGCAGCTAAAGGTGTGAATGCCCAGGACATGTACCTTGGGGTGTCCACCCCTAAGACATAGGTGTACCTTGCAGGAGTTGAGGTCACCCTGTGTAAATAACCATACCAGTGACAATGGAACTATGGTCCTTATTCAAAGGTAACCTGTGGGAACATACAGCTAAAAACACTAGGCTTGGGTGATCAGACTTGTGCTTTCTCAGTGTTTGTTTCTGTATTGTTGGAAATGTTTATCATGAGCACATGTCTTTTATAATGTGTGAAGTGAGTCAAATGGGCCACTGTGATGCTGGCACATGACCATCTTCTGAACAGAGCATATGTGGTCCAAGGTTTTACCTGAGTCTAGCAGAGCCTGGACTCCAGTGATTGCAGGTTGACATGGTATTGCCAGCAGTAGGACACTGTGTGCTCAGCATGCCTACCAAGGACTGAGACCTGTGTGACATCCCATACCACTTCTGTCCCTGAACCCCTTCTGCCACGAGTGAGAACTCTGAGTTGGGGCATCTCAAATTCCAGCCCACTTGGGTCTGTTGCAGTGGGTCCCACCCTGTGGATGAGGAATCTGGGGACATAATAGTGGGGCTCCCATGTGGGAAAAAGCTTGGCAGGTACCCAGCCTCACTCTGTCACCTCCCAACCTGGTGGTTTAGTGTGCTGTTTTGGGCCCTGTGGGTTTGTGTCTGGACAGGACCCTGGAGATCTCTGAGGAGGGACTGCATCAAGATCACTGACTTATGAAGCCCAACTGCTGGGTCACCTACAGCCACGCCTCCAGACCATAGTGACCCCTGGTGGCTGTGGCTCACTCAATCACAGGCTGTTTTCCCATTGCTCACTGTCCTTCCCACATCCCTTGCTGGTCCTCTGGCTGACCATTCAGTGATGTCATGAGCAACCTTGCACCCCCAACCTGTAGTGGCCCCTTAAGCAAGAGGGTTCCTGCCACCTCCCCTTCCTCAATCCTATCTCTGTGGTCAGTTCAATGCCCTCATGCCCTTCATGGGTAGGGCCAGCCTCTAGGGACAGAAGTGAGGACACTCTGCTGGCATAGGGAGCAGTGGAGGAACCTACAGATAGCAGGTGAGGCCTGCAGCACCCAGACAGGAGAGAGGCTGGGGTGGGCCTCAGAGCAGTGCTCAAAAACACCTGGGCCAGGTCAGCAAGGTCAGCAGGGTCCTGGGCAGGGCCTAGACAGCAGAGCTGGAAGCTCAGCTCTTCCTGGGAGTTGCTGACAAGAAGTAACTGGAAGGTTGCCTGAGTCAAGGTTAAACATGTCAAAAACTGTAACCGGGTTCTTCCGGTGTCCTAAAAACCAGGGGATCTGATTGGCCTGAGGCTCTCCTTAAGATTAGCACTTACAACAGTTCCTGTGTCGTGCTTGTGTGTGGTGTGCCAGGTATGAGTGTGGTGTATACCGTATGTCATGTGTATCTGTGTAGGAGTGCCATTCAGTGGTTGTCACTTGTGGTGTGTATGGTAGGGGTACATGACTACTGTGCATGTGTGCATGTATCTTGTACATGATGTGTTGTTTATATGTATCAAGTAAGGGGTGCGGTATATGTGGCATGTGTATCATCATGTTTTACATGTGTTGTACTTTGTATCTGAGGTATGTGTGTTATTTATTTGTTTTAATGTTGTGTGTGGTCCTGTGTGTCTGTGTGTGTTGTGTTCTGTTTTTTCTTCTCTTCTGCTCATTCCAGGACAGAGGAGGCCCCTTGTCTTGTCCTCTCTGCTGTCCAATGGCCATCCTGATAGCTATGGTGAGCACTCAACAAGGAGTGGCCCTGGGTTTGTTGCAATGGGCAGGCTTCTGGACTGACAGCCTTGTTGATGGTATGAATCTGGTTTCTCCTTCCTGCAGCAGGGTAGAGAATGCCCAGAATCACTAGGAAATTGTCTTGCAAAAACCTCAAGAACTAGCCAAAGTACCCACTTGTAATCCCAGTTGCACGGGAGGCTGAGATAGGAAGATGCAAGTTTGTGCCCTGGGCAATTAAAATAAATAATAAAAAGATGTAGTTCAGTGGTAGATGGCCCCTGAATTCAATCTCCCACTACCAACAAAGCAAAATAAAACTCATGAGATTCCAAACTAAACTCCAGGTCACAAAGGACTTTCCAGTGGGCACTGGTGGGGCCCCTCTAGAAGTCTTAGTGTCTGGGAGACACAAGTCCACCAGGTGAACTTGCACTGGAAGCTGCATGGAAAGTAACTGCATATTTTGGGGCAGGCAGGGACCTGTCTAAGGGCTCTCTGAGTCAGTAATGGGTGTGTTCCATCCCCAGGGCAGTGTGACCAAGATCTCAGATCTGGAGCTGACATTCAGTGTTTCTAAAGTAATCTGATCAAGCCTGGGGATTTAGCTCTGCTGCATAAGAGCCTACCTGATAAGTGAGTTGCATTTCTGGTACAAAAAAAGAAAAGAGCAATCTTATCAAGTAAACAAGAGACTGGCAGGTCTAAGAGCAGAGTCCCTGGGCGTTGGTTGCACTTTTCTTTCACATTTTTTATCCGCAATTATCATAGGAAGCTCCAGGAAGGGACAACTTGGACGCTGGAGTTCAGAACAAAGATGAGCAGACCAGCCCCCCCCCCCCATCCTCGACTCCCAAGGGAGAAAGGGGGGCCGCGGGAGAATAAGCCTGGGTGGGGGCTACCACTCGTGACCCAACTGGCTAGTGGCTGGACCTGGGCATCCCGCCTGCCCTCCAGGATATTGACGGTCACGCCCCCCCCCCCCCCCCCCGCTCCCCTCAGCAGTTGAAACCTCCCCCTCAACCTCCAGCTGGGGAGCACAGTTCTGTGCCTGCCTCACTGGAATTCCTATCACCTCGGGGCAGGTCCTGCAGCCCGTCCTCTTTGCCAAGTGTGGTTTCTGGCTAAAGGCGAAGTGGAGAAAAATGACTGGAAACTCCCTCTCCCCCAGCAACAGTGAGCAGGCTGCCGGAAACCATAGCTACCCCTGAATGTTCCACGGCAAAGGCAAGGGCCCCTGGCCTGACACCTGTAGGCAGAACGACTGTGTTTATAGGCATCCCTGGTGCCCCCAAGCCTCCTGAGGAGTTCTGGCTGGGACTCCCAGGCCAGAGCAAACACAGTGCCTGGGGATTGGCCGGCCTCGGCTGCCCACGAGGGTTCTTCCCTTTGCCCCTACGCAGTTAGCTGGTACACGGCAGAGCCAGGACCGCCCCCCAAACTACCACCACCAACAACCACAGCTTCTGCAGGGGAAACCCAAGTGATTCTTGAGGGAGTCTCTCCTACACAGCCTGGGAGCCGTGCGCTGCCGCTACTGCCCACACCTGGCTCTGGAGGACAGAGCCCGGCAGTGTAAGAGTGGAAACCAAAAGAGTCATAACGCCCTGGGTTCGACCTGCCTGTCACCCACCGTTCGGGCCTCAGGGAACATGGTGTCTGTGAGGAGCAGCACACTCCACGGAGTGTCGCTGCAGTGCCGGCCGGGTGTGTGCTGATCTGAAAAGGAACCACAGCTCCCCCTACAGTTTCGCTGCGCTCTGCTTGTTATCCGCTGTCTGCTGGTGTCCAAAAATACTATTGGTTAGGGGCGGGAGATTTAGCTCTGTGGCTGAAGCGCTTTCCTAATAAGCGTGAGGTTGTGAGTTCATCCCTGGTATAAAAAAATGACTGTCTTCACGTGCAAGAACGAAACAACATTCACATAACTTTTATTCTAGTATAGTTATGTTTTTTTTTTTTTTTTTTTTTTTTTTGGTGGGGGTTGTCTGTCTGGTTTGGGTTTGGGTTTTGTTTTGTGACAGTCTCATTATATAACCCAGGCTGACCTCAATTCACCATCCTCCTGCCTCAGCCTCCCTACTGCTGGAATTACAGGCATACAGCACCATGCCCCACTCTGTTCTACTTTATAATTTGTTATTGTTAATCTCTTAAATAATCTCAATTTATGCATTAGACTTTACCATAGATGTATGCATGTGTAAGAAAAAAAATCTAATATATACCAGAACCATAGATCTGTGGTTTGAGGCACAGACTGGGGCCTCTAGGAATGACTGTGCTTAAGTCCTTGAGGGCCTGGGACACCCTAGAGGGAGACCATGCGGCAGGACTGCAGGTGCAAGGGGGATCTCTTGGGAGCTGCCCACACAGCCCCAGGACTCTCTCACTCAGAAGTCCCCTCCACCTGTCATCTGACTTTTTCCTCTTGTGAGGGGGATGCCTGCAGGTTACAGTGAGATGGAATTATGCAGGGAGGGCACCAGCCAGCCAGAGCTAATTGCCCATTTGCTGGGACAATGATCTGAAATAGAGGTTCAGAAGTTTTTGTAAACCGGGATAGGACTCAGGGGCCAGCTTAAAGAGGATGTTTCTTTTCAAAGAAAATGCTGTCTATACTGAGAATTCACGAACCTCAATCGTACAGCCCCTCATCCTAGATTTTCTATATGTAGGAGTTAAGATACAAGGTACAGGATCAGACTTTCCACACCCCACACTCATAAGCCTCTCCTGCACTGGGCTCTCTCCTGGGCCCACTATCTGCATGCCCAGGTTCTGAGTAGAGTTTTGGGGCTCTGGCTCTCCGAGACATGTGTACCCAACCTGTCCCAGGCTCATGGCCTGCCTAAGGCATTTGGGACTTTTTCTATTCCCCAAACGTTTGTGCATTTTAAATTAAGTTCCCCAAACCACTATACTGATGTGACACTTTGACCAACAGAAATGAAAGGAAAACACAGCACAACAGAACAGCTTTATCTGAATGTTTTATTTTTTTTCAGCTTTACTACAGTAAATTTAAGTGAAATTAACTTTATTGCCTTTTCTTTCCTTTTTTGTGGTGCTGGGGATGAAACCTAAGGCCTCATACATGCTAGGAAAGCACACTGCCACCAAGTTACGCACCCAGCCCAGGTGTTAGGAAGCACGGTTTCTTGGACTCAATGCCTAGCAACATCCTTAGCTAGCACGTCTGCCTCCTGGATGAGACCAAAAGTCATCACCTGTGTGAAAAGCAGGGTTACAGTGGTTTTTTAACTATAAGGAAGACTGATTGAACAAATCCTCATTTCCTCATCCCATCTCCCTTGCCTTCAAGCAGGGCTGCCCTGCACCCAGGCCGCCCGCCCCAGGACCCAGGCCAGCAGGCACATACCCACATGGCTGTCTTAGCCCCTGTCCCCTCCACCCCAGTCCAACTCATCACAATTGTCCTCTACGGCTCCTACCTCAGCTGCCAGCACCAAGATCTGCCCTGGTGGGATACTCCAGGGCATTCCCAGTCTCACTGCCTTACCCTACCACAATTCAACCCCTTCCCCAGGAGTGGACGACAAAGTTCCCAAGCCCCAGATCCAGTCCAGAGCAGGGAAAACTGGAGGCGCTCTGTGTCCAGCTGCAGGTGCCGTGGTGCCAGTGCTGATGAGGAGGACCTCATTGCTCCATTTTCCCATGCCATATACCTCTTTAGGCCAGATCCTCAAAGAAGTATATGCATAGGAAAAAGGAACAGCGAGCGATTCTGCCGAGAGCGGCTCTTCAGCAACTGGAGGCACTGTCCGGTGAGCAGTAGGCAGCACCAACCTGTGGATGAGAAGTGGTACCTGTCCCAGCCCACAGAGGCTAGCCAAGTCTTACCCGGCGTCCAGGGTCCAGGACTGCTGGGTCCTCAGCGGCAGTGAGCTGTGCAGGTCCCTGGAGAACCGGTGGAGAACTCCTTGTCTGCTGCGAGGTGGAGTCCTACCACTGCAGCCGCAGCGTCCCTTTTTATACACAGTTGAGACCTTGGCCTACTGCTGTCTCATGTGGTCAGAAAGCTGCTAGTGCCAAGAACCCCATCCCACCCCCGCACCTGCGGGCCGGGGCACAAAGACCTGCTCTGAGCAGGCGGTGGGTGGGCAGGCAGGCCCCCGGGGCCAGCGCTGGCTGCTCTCGTGGGAGCTGGGACCGGGCCAGCCCTGGCGGGCTGCCCCTCGGCACTTATCTCTCAATGTACTTCTGCTTGCGTCAGGACCTGGAAAATACATCCTGAAGAGAACAGCTCCTACGGGGAAGGGGAAGGAGGGGATCTTTGCCTCCTCTGCCTGTCCAGCTTAGCAACAGCAGTCTCCAGGCTGGGCTTTGCCAGACACCAGGCTGAGAGACCCTTGGAACCTAATGTCATCACCATCCACCATCGAGGGCACTGAACCCCAAACTTTTACCCTTGGAGGGCTCCCTGCTTGAGCCTTTGGTGGCCTGTGTTTGGAGGATTGGGTGGACAGGAGCTGGAGTAGGAGGCCCAGAGGGCCTTCCCTAATGTTGGGCTTTCCCTAATGTGGGCTCTTTCAGAACCCCCAGGAATGTAGAGACAAGAGCTTCGAAAGTCTGGGAGGTGACACTGCAGGGCTAGCATGGGGAGGGCACTTAAGAGACAGCTGACCAAACACTATAGCCTGCCCATGCAAAGCCAGACCTTAGAGACTGACAGTGCCCACCAGGCCAAGGGGCCCCAGGCAGGGCAACTGAGCTGTCTCTTGACATAAGAAAAAGCCAAGACTGCCAAAAGCCCCTGGCAGTCTGGAGTGTTGTCCCTGACCCATAGTGTCTCCCTACAATGTAGGGCAGGTAAAGGCCAGCTCAGGAGCAAGGCCAAGGACTGTGTGCTTCTCTCCCTGGAACGTCTGTGCTATAGATCCAGGGTCTGTACAGGGCACAGACAGACAAAAACACTGAGACAGATGCACACAGTGACAGAAATGCACACCCAGAGGCTTATGAAGACACATATATCACTCCTGTGATATGTAGAACTAGATGCCTGGTCAGTGCTGACCAGAGCTGGGGACAGCCTGATCCATAGGGCAAGTGTCCACAAGGAAACCATGCTCCCTTGACCCAAGGCTAGCTGTGTCTGAGTCCATGTCCACGATCTCACACAAGATCTCATTCTTGTGTCTGTCTCATAGCAGCTCTGGAGTCCCTCTACCTAGGATGAGGAAAGGAATGGCCCACCAACGCAACTGAGTGGTGGTGCAGGGTGGTGAACACCTGGGAAGGCAAGTCCAGGGACTATGGTAATGGACTCTTGCAGTGGAAGCCCAGGGAGAGAGAGATGGTGTAGTACTTCCTAACAGCCCCATGATGGAGAACGGACCCCACAGGATAGGACGGGATAGGGGCCTGAAAAGCCCTAGATCCTGGGCTGGAACAAGGAGCTTTGGTGGAAGGAGCTCCCAGAACTCTCAGTGATGACAACTTGTGGCCCCAGCTGTCTACTCACCCCTCTCCTCAGGAGCCCACCTTTACCTGATGCACACAGATGACCTGTGTTTTAGGCCAGAGGATTGCTGGTGGCACCAGTAGTGATGCAGAGGAGAGTAGCCAAGCGGATCAATGCGTGAGGAGCTCTGGTGGGGACTTGGAAAAGTGCTTTGTCCAATGAATGGACCCTGCTATAAGCCTGGGCTAGGGACAAAGGGGCCTGTGAGAGCCTGTCCCAGAGAAGAGTGGGAAAGCTGCTTTACAGCAGAGGGTGAGCAGCCTTCACAACTCAGATAAGCTAATGCTCACGCTCATACCCACAAAGCTAGGGGAAGGGTCCACTGACAGGCAGAGGCCACACTCCCCACACACCTTAGACCTAAAAAGAGAGCCTTGCCAGGAATGGCGGAGCACTCCTGCAATCCTAGAACACAGAGGACTAAGGCAGTAAAATTGCAGCAAATCTGAGACCAGCCTGGGCCACATAGTGAGTTCAAAGTCAGTCTGAAGAGCATAATGAGATCCTGATTCCAAAAACCAAGAGAGAGACAGAGACAGAGACAGGCAGAGAGATAGAGACAGGAAGAGTCTAAAATCAAAATTCTAGAACTTGCCTGTCCTCAAAGGCACTACAGAGGCCCTATCCTGCTGAGCCCTTCATCCAGCACTGGCTGTCCCTAAACTGCCTCCCAGGCTGTGGTATAATCCTTGACGTTGGCTGTGGCCTCGGGTCTGTAAGAATGATGGAGACAAAAGGCAGAGAGCTAGAGATGGCAGGCACTGAGACAGAGAGAGAGGCAGTAACAGAGAAAAAGTGACTGAGCGAAAGACACAGGAAGGCATAGACAAGAGAAAGACCTTGGCAGGAACAGAAATGGACTAAAACATTGTCAGTTTCCTTGCTTTTATGAAACCTTTTTTCCAGACTATGAAACTGATGCCTGCTAATTATAAGCACATTAAAGTCCTGAAAGGTCTACAGACAAGCTGTGGTGAGGAAGATGGAGGCTTGTCCTCGACAGGCTGGCCTGGCCCCCCTGCCTGGAACCTGGAGAAGTGAAGCACTGGGTGGGAGGATGGGCCCATCATCTGTTCTCTCCTCAAGGCTGCAGGCAGCCACAGAAGGTTGAGGAGACAGGCAGTGACGAGGGATGTGCTGTTTCAAGAGCCATCCTCTGGCTGTCATGTGGCAAAGGGCAAAGGAAGATGACATCTGAACAACCAGATGCTAAGAGTAAAGGGAAGTTCAGTCCCATCCTGGGTTTCTGGGCCATGAACCCAAAGAGCCCTGTGATCCCTCAGGCTGTCAGCCCTTTTGGAATGCTCACTTTGTGTATCTTGGGTGGGGAGGAGAGGGCCCGGGGGACCTCTTCTCTTAAGAGCTGACATCATGAGGGGTGGACTCTGGCTTCCTGATCGGTACATCTGCACTCCTTCCCTACTCCAAGTTTCTTGTGGCTCCCCAGTACTTGAGTGGACCCCATACCTACAAGTGGGAGTGTGGGTGCCTCTCCCCTACATGCTAGATGACTGCATGGCCTGATCCCTGCCTCATAGGTGTCTTTCCCCTATCTCTAGGACCATGGGGTCAGGGATATAGCTCCGTGGCAAAGCGCCTGCCTCACAAGTGCAAGGTCCTGAGTTCAATTTCCAGTACCAAAAAATAAAAGAAACTGTCCCTGGGACCACACCTGGAAAGACCTCAGGAAGTCTACAACCCACTGGCCAGCATGACCATACATTGTGCTTCTCACAGTAGCAGGGGCTCAAGGACGGCCAATCTGGGTTCCATGTGCCCCAGCAGCAGCCCCCACACTGCTGAGCACACAGGCCATCTCTTCTTGCTTGGGAGACAGAAAGTATCCTTGTGGGCCTGGGAGGACGTGCTTGGCACAGAGTGGAGGGCGATAAGGATGGCCTTCAGGCCAGCTTGCTCACTCCTTGTACTCTGCACCTTCCTGAGTAGGGGTGGGGGTAGGGGTAGGGTTCCTGCAGCTGTTTTCATAAAATGGAACCAGCCCCCAAGATAGCTCCCCATCACCCAGCTCTAGTTCCCACAGGGGCTAACCTACTCCCCTGCTTCAACACAAAGATCTCAGTCTCTGTGCCAGCTGCACTGTGAGGCTGGCCCCTGCACCCATCTACCCTGCACCCCAAAGTGCCATGTATGCCAACCTGCTCTGTATCCCAGCCTTCTCTGTACCTTACCCTACCCTACATTCCTACTGCCTTGTGACCCTCTCTGGGGTTCATAGCAGTTCACCTGAATTGTTATCCTCTGGCCCTAGGGTAGACCAGGCGTGATCAGTGTCGGCTCCTGGCAGCAGCAGTATATCACCGCTGTGCTGGGCATGTCATTTCTCCTAGCCTCAGTTTCCCCAGTCTTGGGAGAAGTGCTGGAAATGGCACAAGCTTCTCAGAATCATAGACAAAACCTACATTGCCCAGCTGACCAGTTGTTTCACTCCTAGACGTGTGCCCAACAGGAATGAAGTCATGGGTACCCAGAGAGACTTCACCTCATTCTCAAGCTGGAATCTGTTCCGAGGCCTGCACAGAGGAGTTGGTATAAACCATAGAGTCTTACACAGATGAGGCACACACATGGTTTGGGTGCCCTGGGGTGGCCCAAGACACAGGTGACAGGAGGCCAAAGGAAAATGTGTCCTTGGAGGTGCTTGTTACGAGCTGTACGTGTTTGTGAAACTCCTGAAATTGTATGCTTGAGGCCATTTGCTCCACGGCCTGACAACAAATTATAAATGAACTCAATAAAAGCAAAGTAAAATTGAAATAAAACGGGGCCACAAAGCAGAGTAGCAGGAGGCGCTCCCTTATGAGACAGCTCCCATCTTGTAAAGCCCTGGCCAGAAAGCACGGTACACATGATCAGATATGAATCTCAGAGTAAATGTGGATAACGTTTTGGCATAAGTGTGTCCCATTGGAGCATACTGACACTGAAAATTATTTTATCATTTATCTGAAATTTGAATTTAACAGGGTGTTCTAGACTGTCACTAAATCTGGTGGTCCTGCACCTATTTTATGGAAAGCATAGGTAGGGCTTGGAGACAAGAACCCCAACCTGTGCTCTCAGCTGTGGAAGGAGGGCTACTAGGGGAAGCCTCTGGGGTCTGGGGCAATTGGATGAGCCAGTAGCACCCAGAGTAACCCCCAGTCCTGGAAGGGGTGGCTAGGTTGACCCTGGGCCCTGTGCGGCACTGCCCTGCGTCAGGGCTATGTTTCAAGGCTGAGCTTGACTCCCTCTGGGAAGCTATCTCGGCTTCCTGATATTTTCTTTCTTTTCTCCCATGCCCACCCTGCCGTATCAGCAACACTTTCTGGGCCATGGGAACATTCATCTGTCCTCCAAGGCTGCGGTGTCAGCAGCCCTCTGTGACCCATCCCTAGGAGAACTGTGGCTACTTTGTTCAGACTAGTGATTCAGCTGCTGACCTGAGGGGACCCCTGGTTCATCTGCCCTAGATCCTTGGCCCTGGGTAGATATCATGAACACATACACACACATGCACATGCACACATAAACACATGCCACATGTACACACAGGTACACTCATGCACACCACACACACATACTCACACAGACACATGCACAGTTGGCCATTTCCTATTTACCTCAATTCAGACACTCAAAGAGCTCTGCCCTGGGACTCCAACCCAGTGTGGTCACTGCTATTCATTCCTGGGAGTTGGGAATCTGTTTGCCACTGAAAGGGGGCTAAGTTTACCAGCAGTAGCGAGGGACCTGCCACCTTCAGCCCCCCTCTATGCCCTGTTCCTGGCTTCCTTGGATCCTTGGCCAGAGGACACACAGGCCTTGCCCAGTTCAGACCTACCTGCTTATTCCTGGCCAGACTGTGGGGCTCTGATTCCATCCCATTTGCTGAGGAAGAAAAGTCCAGCAAAGGAGGAAGGGAGCCTTTACCACCAAGGACAAGGGTTGGCCACAGTCAACACCAGTGTCCACCAGCTCTAGCTTTGAGGGGGCTGCTCAGTAGACCCATACGTACTTCCTGGGCAGTGAAGATGCTGCCCACCGTGCTAGGATAGGGTGTAGTGGTTGTGATGATCCTCTGAGGGCTGAGGAGTGCTGTTTCCCCAGAGACCCCTCTGCTGTGTAGCTTATGGGATTTACCACTCCTGAGCTTCCATAGGGTTGAAGGGTCTGAGTGGACCCTAGATATGGGATGGTGCTGGGGTTGACCTTGTTCTGGCCACCTGTGAGCCAGGGGTAGCCAAGGACTTCAGGAAAGCTCCCCTGACCTTCAGCTCCAGGCTGGCCCCAGCTCCAAAGTCACAAAGAAAAATGAACAAGGCTGCAGTCCCTGTCTAGGGTCAGAGAGAACCAGGGCTAATTGAGACTGTGGGGCTTTACCGTGTGCACAGGTGAGCCTGTCTTGTGAGTGGGGAGCTTATTCCTCGGGTGTGGGGCAACAGCCCAAGAGGTGGGGAACTTCAGACTAGGTAGAGGTCAGAGTTGAAAGGTTTTCTAGGGCCCCTGCTACACTCCCCCCACCCCGCCACCCCTGCAAGCCTGAGCCACAGGTGGGTGTGGGCAACAGAATAGTGTTGAAGCATATCTAAGCTCAGGACATAGTGGAGGGATTTTGCCAAGGCAAAGGATGGTCAGGGCAGCTGTCCGGGGGCAAAGAGGAGAGGGAAAATCAATAGTTTGGAGCAGAGCCTGGGGAAGAGCCTGGCCTGGGCTGGCCCTTGGCATGGGAGGCAAGAGACACAGGTGGGACTAGTTACTATCTGACCACAGCCCATTCTTGGGGTGCTCCTCTAGTTGTTGACAGAGGACAGGGGTGACTGAATGTTTGTGTTGGCTGCATTTGGGCTACAAGGTACCCACCCAAAGCCAGGGTTCTGGGAGCAGATGGCACATTGAGCCAGCACTGTGGGATCCAGGGTGCACAGCCTGGATGTCCTCTACTGCCCACCACCCTGACCTTTCAGTCTTCTCTTTGCTGGGTTAGCTGGAGAGATTGGGGTATAGAATAGGGGTGGAAAGACAAAGACGCTCTGAGGAAAGGAGGCATTTGCCAGGGAACTCTAGCTCCCATCTCCTGGCCAGGTGGCTCTGTTTTCCTTGATGGGGGTGTTATTAAAGCATGAGGTGAAGACACAAGGCTGGCAGATCACTGTCCACGTGACCTGGCCACAGCCATGATTCTTTTTTATTGAGACAAGATCTCACTATGTAGTTCAAGTTTGCCTCAAACTCGAGGTGATCATCCTGCCTCAGCCTTCCAAGTACTGGGATTACAGGCATGTGCCACCATGCTCAGCAAGATCGATAGTTCTTTAAGAAAACTTTCGTTTTTTTTTTTTTTTTTAAATGCATGTGTCCTTTTCAGAGTTTATGAACATGAATTTCAGAAACATCTGGGAACAATATCAGCAGATCTCGCTCTCTGATGTGCTTTGATGAAACTTTATTTTCAGTTTTTTAATTATAAAATAATACATTGCTAAAGAGAATCATGAACAGTACTAAATAGAAGCAGTTTCATCCCAGAAACAATCACTCTTCATATTCTGTCCATTCTAGGTACTGGGCATCATTTCCCTGATTTTCTACACACAAGATGAACCTCCACGTTGCCACAGAAGCACCACTGCTTTCCCAGGGATGGAGTGTCCTGGAGGGTCTAGAGTCTGCAGAGGGCTGCTCGCAGCCGCTTCAAAAAGACAGCTGACACCCCAGGCAAGCGAAGAAGAGTACTAGAAGGCCAGGACCAGGAGCAGCCCCAGCACTGAGGCCTAGGGGCACACTTGCCCCCTGAAGTCCCCTCATCACTGTTCATGAAGCCTTTTCCCACTTGTCTCTCTCAGATTTTGAGCTATGTTGCTGGTTCAGTATCACTGTCAGTCTAGACTTAAAGAAGTCTTATTTTTTTTCTTTTTATCGGTACCGGGGATCGAACCCATGACCGCCTGCTTGCAAGGCAGGTACTTATGCCACTGAGCTAAATCCCTAGCCCCCAAAGAAGTCTTATTTAAGCAAAATTATCATTTATTACTGTCATTATTATTATTGTAAGCAGTAATAGTGGTAGTAGTACTGGGGATTGAATCCAGAGCCTTCATACTGAGCTATATCCCTTCCCTTTTGTTATGATTACTATTATCATTATTATTTGAGACAGGGACTCTCTCTAAGTTGCCCAGGATAAGCCTGAACTTGTGATTATTATGCCTCAACCTTTAGAGTGCTAGGATTACTATTATTACTACAAATGATTTTTCTTTTATTGCAGTACTGGGAGAACCCAGGCCTCACATTAAGTAAGTTACACCCCCATCTCTCAGAGGGTGCTAGGGTCTTGCTAGGTTGTCCAGGCTGGACTCAAATGTGGGACTCTCCTGTCTCAGACTCCCTAATAGCCAGGGTTACAAACATGTGCCACCATGCCTAGCTCCTAAGTGAATTTTTCATGTAAGTTTCAAGACATCAGTTTAGCAATGAATGTGTTTTCATCAGTTCATATTCCCACACCTTCTGTACATCTTGGGATATTTCAAAACTGTTACAAAGTGTTTAACTCACGCAGTGCCACATGCCCAGTTTTGCTTTGTGTTTCTGAGACAGAGTCTTGTTACCCAGTTCAGGCTGGCCTCGAACTATGTAGCCCAGGCTGGCCTTGAACAAACACCAGTTCTCCTGCTTCAGCCTCTGTAGTGCTAGACGTTTGCCCCATTATTAAAAGGAACCTTATCCTGCCTACAAGCTGCCTCACTGCTTGGATGCCAGCCTGTCTTGACTGCACTCCTAAGACACCCTTGACCCAGGGGTCCACCATGCCACTTTCTGGAGTTCTAGAATGTGTGCCAGCAGCAGTGTCAGGAGCCTTCCCTTCAGCCACATGTGTGGGCCCACCTTTCCATCCGGCTTCTATTCCCTCATCACCTGATGCCAGGGGTGGCTGTGGCACAGGGCCTTTACAGCTCCTGTCCTATCAGTCATCAGTAATCATCTTCTGTCTTCACTCAGGGGAGGTTCCACTCAGTGGCAAACATCTTATCTCAGTGTCACTCTCCCTCCCTGAGGGCATGAGCCGTATGAGACGGCATCCAGTGGGCTGGAAGTGCTTATCCTGAGTCCTGGAGAGCAAGAGCACCTGCCCATCACTGCCCTGTTTAAAATGACTTTACTGTGCTTGTGAGACATTGGTCACCTAGTGGCCCCCTGAACATTGGCCACCGGCCTCAGCGAGGTGTCCAGAAAGCAGGCCAAGGGCTGCTGAGGAGTCAAGTGGGGACCAACTCTCATTTTCCCTTGTACCTATCCATATTGCAGGGCCTCTGAGTCCCAGGTGCCCTCCCCAGGGTCCCTGCAAATTTCTGGCTGATGTTAGTGCTTGCATAAGCCCCCTCAGTCCTTTCTGGATGAAAACAGAAAAAGCAGCACAATGAGAAAAACCAGGTATGCTCCCTGGTAACATCTAGAGCAGCCATAATTACCAACCAATGTCACTAAACTCAACAGAAGGAAGGTAGATGACCAGACTGGCCACACAGGACCACCCTATGCCCATGGGTAGGCTGCTCAACATAGGCTGGAAAGGCAGCAGTGTGCTGGCCACCTCAGGGAGTACCCACAGACGTCATCCCAGCCAGCTTGCGTGCACTAGCATTGCCTCATTTTGCAAATGAGGAAGTGGCTCAGGTTTCTGTAGCTATGCATGGAGTACAAAGAATTCCTAACCGTAGCTCATCTCGCACTTTTATGCATTTCAAGGTTCCCCCTGAAAAGCATTCTGTGTGATTAGTATCCATTTAGCCAGGACAGAAAGTACACTTTTTAGGCAAGGAGCGAAGCACCTTTCCTTTTAACAAGAAAGTGACCTTTTAACCTAAGGTGATCCTTTCTTGCCGGCCTGACCCTAGGGTCAGGCTCTGGGGTTCATCCAATCTATTGGAATAGTTTGCCTCAAGAAAGGCCTTGGAAATAGCATGTTGGTCAGTGAGGAACAAGGACCTGGGACCTCTGGCTTGGAATACATTTCTTTGCTGGGCCTGCCTTGCTTCCAGGTACAAGGTTTCTTGTTGTAACTCCTTTTTTGCAGGTACTTTATTCTAGATTTTGTATACCATTTGTATCATAGAGCAGGAATAACTCAATAAACTAGAAAAATGAAAAAGTAAAGTGGTAGGAAATGGAAATATGGAGACAGATGGACCATCAGGCTGCAAGGGTTGAACAAGCAGCAAGAGCCACACGGGATGTGTCTCTCCTTAGCCAGATCAGTGTCCTACTGAATGCTGCTCAGCATTTGTGCTGTGCTCTGCTTCGTACCAGCCTGGCTCCTGATTACATATGTCCTGACTTTACACAGGGCATTTCTACAGAGTGACAAATAGCATCTGCTGGGTCTTGCGGCTTGAAGCCCCCATGCTTCCTTGTGTTACTGGGATTTCTCTGAATTGCTAAAACCGGATACAGTATTTGCATAAGCAGCCACGGAGATGTGGTAAAGCCAGCACTTCAGTCATCATTTCCTGAGGCGGGGGTAGGGGGGTGTTGGGGATCAGGCAGAGTGCTTAGATCTCTAGCAAACTCCTTCCAGCTGATATCTGCTGAGGAAGTAGGTACCTCTGCTCTTGGTGTGGGAGATAGTGGGCCGCCAGTCACCCTTTGAAGGGGCTTTGACTTGGGCCCAGATGCCCTGAAACATCAAATATCCCTGGGGTCCCAGAAGCATGGGCCTCAAGAGCCCAGGGTCAAGTGGTCTTGGAGTCAGAAGGCAGGTTTTAGGGAGAAAGGCATGCAGCCTGAGGTGGGGGGTACAGCTGGCGTGGAAGAAAGGGATTGTGCTAGGGTCCAGTCTTCCCAGAGAAGGATCCACAAGCCTCTGAAACTGCTCCAGACCTTACTCTGAGCTTGCTCTAGGTGGGTGACAGTTTATGGTTCACTTGTCCCCAGATTTGTAAAGGCCCTGGGAGGACTGCAGCTATGCAGCCCCTCGAAACACCACTTGCTCCCCAGCCAGCATTCAGTTGGCCCCTCCCCCATCAGTCTTACACACTGTGGGTGGAGGAGGAGCAGGCAATCATTTTCTCCATGTGGCTCTAACCCCTCAAGCCTGGTGTCCTATGTGAAAGGCTCCCAGACATGGTTGCTGGTTCTCTAGAGGGAACACAGGATATCATCTCAGAAAGGGAGGTCAGGTGATGACCTGGCCACCCAGGGACAAAAACAGAGAAATCCTACAACTGTGAGCCCATGTTGAGCTCGAAGTCCTTACTGGCCCAAGGCAAAGCTTGGCAAGAATGGGGAGAGGCAGACCTTCAGCACACACCCAGTCAGGGAGGGTCACTATGTACAGTGGTCTATGCATCTTATAGGGGGATGAGTATAGATAGACACTGCTTGGGGCTATGACACCCTGATTCCTTCTCTAACATGGCTGAGGGGCTTCTCCCAGGTCACTGTAGGGGTAAGTGTTCTGGCTTTATGTGCCAGGTGGACTCCAGCTTCTGAATCACAGCCTTGCATGGCAGAATACAGCCCTGCCCTGGCTGCTCTGCACTCCATAGAGCTTTCAATGATACAGCCTGCTGCAATACACGTGTCATAGATTCATCACCACTCTCCCAGGACCTTGGTCAACTCTTGGGACCAGGCTCTAGCTACAGAAGCACTCCTAGGACTTAGTTATAGGTGGGCAAGCCAGGGCCTGCATTTGGGGGTGCCTAAGGCACGACCACCTTGCTTCTAGGCATGAGGAACCTGAGATTTACTTGTTTGACTTTGTTGGTCCTTGGCACCAGTACCAGGAGGTAGGCTGCTACCAGAGCATTATCACCACCTGGGCTTTACTGTCTATTTTCCAAGGGATATCTGTCTATTTAGAAGCCCAAAAGCTAACCCAGACCTAGCCCCAGGATCCAGCAGGCAGGAGCTGGACCAATGACAAGCACATATTCCTGCACCACAAACCATAACCTATCTGGTTATGCCTCTGCCTCTACCACCCCTCAAGGCCACCACCACAGTCACCTACACTGGCCAGCACACATGCATCCTACACACGTGTATAATATAACATCACATGTGCACACAATCACGTATCTACAGCCATCCAGTGTCACATACGGTATCACACATGTATAGCCATACAGTGTCACACAAATGCACGTAGTACCATAGGTAAAGGAAAACACACCCATTGCCACAACAGCCTCTGCTTCCTTCCAAGCCTGTTTGTTCCAGGAGCCAGTTCTTCTGTCTCTGTGAAGAGCTGATCAACCCTCATGACATGAATTTGTGACATGTACACAAGTTTGTACAAGCACATGCACATGTGCAGGTATGCTGGAAGTACCTGAGGCAGAATAGCTGGTCCTTTGCTATCACTGCCCTGGGGAGCAAGGCGCAGGACCAGATCATCCATAGCTCCCAGGCTTAACTTGGGGAGGGAAGCTGGGGCCTAATGAATGAATCTGCCTGGGGTCTGTGCTGATTTGATTTTCTTGGCTAGGCCTTTCCCAGGTATTTCCGGCCTGATAGTTGTGGCTCTGACAGTGTAACAGCTCCCACTTTGAAGGGATTTCTGCAGTGTTTTAGGCAAAGATTTCCCTGTTCCTGACACTAGGCACCCATGGGTACAAGGTGCATGTCCCTCTGCCTGACCCGCCTTGGCTGGGACTCAGAAAGGCTCTGAACAAGGCTCCAGACACCAGGTGCTCCGGTCAAATGACCAGAGTTGACAGAGCCAGTCATCAGGAAGCCATCTATTTTGGTGACTCACAGGGTGGATTTCAGGGGCTGTGGAACGCACTTTCTGACTCAAGGAGGAAGTGGGCTACTTGAGCCTCTGGAGGCAGCTCTGAAATCTTGATGTAAGCCTGCAGCTTCTGATGCTACTTCCTGAGACCTGCAGGGGTTCAGCCCAGGAGCACATAGAAAAGCTGACCCCATAGGGGAGCTGTAATGCGGGGGGGGGGGGGAGCCTACCAGAATCTACCCCAGTGGCATATATAAGGATGTTTAACCAATGTAGCTGGGTACAGAAGTCAGCAAGACATAGCCCTACAACCCATCTCAGTGTTGGAATTGTTCTGGCCACATTAATGCTCCTAAGCCTAGAAGGGCCATCCTGGAGGCAAGAAGACAGCAGCCAGGTTCCAGCCCCACTTAATTTTTCCCTAAAGCCTCAGGGTAAAACCAGTGACTGTGAGGTAGGGTGCTTTCCTGGTCCCTCTCTGTCCTCACATTCTTTCAGTAGAACAGCTCTGCAAGCACAGGCAGTTACAACTTGCTTGGGGCTCTTGTCAGGAGCATCTTCAGATTCCAGGGTGGTTGTCATTCCAGAGCCACATGGCTGACCACAACAGTCCCCACTCACACTGGGTAGTGTGACCCGCCAGGCCCCAGATACTGCACACACTGAGGCCTCATGTGCTCACAAATGCAGCAATGATGAGCCATCCCAGGGCTGGCAGGAACATCTGATCTCCATCCAAATCCATCTACAGGATAGTATAACTCTAGAGTGACAGTCAGCAGAAACCCCTGAGACAAGTAGCCCCAGAGCACCCAAACCCCCACATCTGTGCCTCCTCTGAAACTCTCGACCGTGTAGAACTGTGTGGAAGAAACCCTGGCTGATGGAGGCTCCAGGTAGGTTCAAGATCAGGGCCTGGCTGGCTTGAGGTGGGTACCGCTTGGGGGCTCTTGGTACTCCTCCCGCCCAGGTCTCATGAGTGCCTCAATCCGATGGTCCTTCAGCTGTACCAGGTTCTCCAGCCTCACCACTTTCATCTGCAAAATCTTCAAAAAACCACACAAGCTTGAAGATCTGCTCAGCAGACCAAGAAAAGTTATTCCCTGAGCCTACAGGCAGTGCGTCCACACTGCATCCACAGCCAGCACGCACACTCAAATCCTGACCAAATCCTGTATGTCCCTTGCTCAGTGATAAACGAGAAAGGGCAAGGTGGCTGAGGCCATGCAGTGTGATGCTCTCTCCCCTGCATGTCTCTTTGACCCCAATGTGTGCATCTCACTAACAGTTAGGCAAGTGGCACTCAATCGTTTCAACCCCTAAATGGCAGGTTCAGCCTTTCTTCTCTGGCTCTTACGAAACTAGATGGTTATGATTTACTTAGAGCACATGAGCCAGACTCATAGTTGGGACAGCAAGGGGCCGTGGATGACCTGCAGAGCCAAGCAACTTCATTTCTTCTTATTGCTTCCTCTTCGCTGCCATTTGGCAAACCCAAAGCCACACAATGATATCACTTTCCTGTATTCTCAAGAAGACAACTCATCAAGATCTTGATACCCATTCAGCCGTTTCTGGCAGGCCCTATGACCCTGAGGTCCATACATCATGCACTGCCTGCTAAATCACCCTGTTGAGTCAGGAAAGCAAGAATTGGTAAAAGGACATCTTGCACACAAGACTCTCAATCCCTGGGGATACAGCAGGAGGCATGTGTCATGTAAAACCAGGTTTACCTCACAAACCCAGGTGTGTCCCACAGAACCAGATGTGCTCCACACATGAAGAGCCCCAGGATGAGTGGTGCTTCACAAGACCCAGCACTCTGGCTGAGCAACCTCCCCACTACTCCTGTGGGGTGGAAAGGGGCAGGCAGGACTCTCTAACCAGTAGCTCCACCCCATTCACTTCCCAGGTGCTTGCCCAGGAAGAGTACCATCTGCTCCTGTACCTAGGCCCCAGGCAAGAGTTGTGCCTGTGCTTTGTCTGTGGCTCTGGCATGTGGCCCTAAGCTTGATAAGCCAGTAAGGCAGTGAGTATGTGGTGCAGGACACACATACCTTTGCCTCTGCTTCTGGATATGACTGAAATATTTCAAAGATTGTTTTCTAAATAATAAAGTATACATTTACTCTAACCTGAGCCTCCTCTTCCCCATCTAACAGCATGGTGGGGAGGTTGCTTTGCAAAGACCTGGGTCTTGGGGCACACCTGGTTCAGTCCGCTACCTACCACCAAGTCCCAGATTGGAGCCAGAACCATAGGAGCTCAGCTGAGAGCTAGACTGTGGTTGCTGAAAGATGGTTGGAGACAGCAAAAGCTGAGAGCTTTTTGTGTCCCCAGTTTGGTAGCTCATGGCATATCCAGGGAGAAAATATACCAGACAGGCCATACCTGAACTGTGTGCTGCAAAATGGCTAACGCCTGCTCCCTGTCCTCCAGGAGCTGTTGGACCCTGGTTAGGTGCTCCCAGGCCTCTTTGTCTGGGCCTCCACTGAAAGAGAGACACCAGCCTTTAGTCTGTCAGGCAGAAAATAGAGACTATGGGTGAAAGAGGAGCTGAGACAGCCCACCATCCACAAGCAGAGCAGTACGTCTTCTCCAAAGCTCTTTGGTTCTGAAGAGTCTTCACACTGGAGGAATCTGGTGAATCTGGCAGGCCTGTTTGACAAATGGACACCATCAGCTCAGGGAACCCTACCTCTGAGAGGCACTTATGTGGCAGAAGCACATGTAGGTTGGGGTGGAGGTTGGCTTGCATAGGTTGAGAAGACTCAAATGTCACCACAAATGGTCCCAGCCAGATATCAGGGCCCCTTAGAACAGCCCTGGATGCTCTGAACAATGTCTCCATTTGGAGACACAAGGACCCAGTGGGACAGTGCTATCTTGATGTTAGTGCAGCCAGGGAATCCATCTACCCTCCTCAGAGGCTGGCTAGGTTACTGGGTCTTGTGTACCCTTGAGCACATCTGCTGTCCTTTGCAGGTGTGTGAACCTACGGGTATCACATGTTGAGTCCATATGGTAACATAGTGATGACCCTCACATATGACCCAAAGGGGTTCTGATGGGTGGAATCTGTACTTACCAGGGATTTGGAGCCTACCGGCACACCTGTGGGTGGGCAGCTCCACCCAAGGCTGGTCAGCATTCACACTGGAGAGTCCTGGATCCTGCGGATTTGAAAGGGTGGGAAGAAAGGTGTAATGAGAGTAAACATGTCTGCCTGTAGTCCCAGGGATCACTAGAAATAGGGAGAGTGGTCAGCAAGCAAACTGGACAAGGTGGTGCAGGGCCTGGGTTAGTACAGTTGGGACTGCAGAAGAGTTTTCATTGCCTGAGGCACACAAGGTTCTTGGGAGGCCTGGACAGCTGGTCAGTCAGGGATTCCAGTATGGGCACATATGTAGTCTAGACTACAGGGCTGTGGGGAGCAGGGGTTTTACTGTCATTTATTTCTTATTTTCTTGTAGGTAAATGACTTGACTGTACAAATGGGCACTGATGCAGCAGGTTCTTAAACTCTACTGATTTCCACAGATACCTACAGTTGAGCTGAGTGAGCCTGCATGAACAGTGCCAGTCTCCACCTTCTCTCTCAGTGCACAAAGGATGGGCTCGATGGCCCCAGGTACACTGGCTACCACGTTGCGGATCTCAGCCTCTGAGACACAGAAGTGCAGCCTGTGAAAGACTTTCCTGCAAAGAAAGCAGGCATACACTCTCAGAGCAGTGCCCCAAATGGTGAGGCCATGCGCCACATCTTTGGGTCACAGGACAGTGCTTGATTTCCTCTGACTAGGGTCCTTTATTGCTCTGCACCCCAGAGGCCTTCTCATTTCAGTGTCCCATCAGAGGATCACAGAAAGATCAGAGTCCCATACCATCAAGCCAAGTGTCTCAGGGACTCTGCAACAGTCCTCATCTCTCAGCCAGAAGCTTCTCTTTGCTCTGTGAGAAATCCTGTTGGTCCATATCCTAAGGATTTAGTCTGACCTTTTCTAACTTCCATCAAGGCCAAAACCTGACTGCAGTTGACCCCTCTCAGCCCTGCCTCTATTTCCCTCTATGCCCCTATCCACTCCCAGTCCTCTGAAATTCCAGCCCCATCAGCTTTGCTCAGGCCTCAGTCAGGCTTCTAACACCACCTAGGTTGGAGAGCCCATCCTCATGTGGCCTCCAGGCTTCTTAGGCCTGCACTGAGGGCTCTGGGGCTCTTCCCTATAGCTCCCCAGCATTCACTCTTCCCATCCCTGTGTCATTCTTCTGACTCCTCAGGGCCCTCTCTGGTTTCCCTACTTCTCACAGGTCTGCCCTGTCACTTACAGGTTGCTCTTCATCTCACTTATCAGAGCTGACTGTTTATAACCCGACTTCTAACCATAGTGACTCACTCAACAAAGGTAAGAACCGCTCCACTGTGAGTCTTCTCTGTTGGAATAAAGCCAGGCTCCCTCTCCTAAATGAGTGAGAGGTTTGGGGAATGGGCCTACACTGACAGGCTGTCCTGACACGAAGCCCCAACCTTGCCTGTTGAGAAGGCTCCAGTTGCTGAGCTTCTGGTCTGTGTTGCAGGCCGGGATATAGCTGTGCAGGTCCACAAGGCGTGGATGAAAGTGCTTCACAATCTCTGCCACCAGCACTGTAGGAGGGGAAGGTGAACCTGGCCCGTCCAGCTAAGTTCTTTGCTTGCCCACTGTCGCCCCTGGCTTCCTGCAGTACACAGAGGTAGGTACAACACGGTCTCTGGGATACAAGGCTCCGCACTCAGGCCTCGGGAGAGACCAAGTCCTAGAAGCAGCGGTGGCAGGAGTGCCGAGGCCATATTTACCATCACTTTCCCCCAGGGAGGGGGGCCAGACCTAAGAAGACCCTTTACTCCCTGAGCCGTCCTCGCCCAGTGCCCCGCAGCCTCTCCACTCACTCGGCCACCCGTCCCAACGCGCCCTCCCCGAACTGGCCAGGCTCGCACCGCCGTCGCTGAAGTCCCGAGCCAGGTGCCGTTTAGAGCGGCTGAGTGGGAGCCTGTCCAACCAGGCGCGGAGTCCTTGCAGCAGCGGCGGAGAGGTAGCAGCCGGGCTCAGCCTAGAAGAGCCCGGCATGGCTAGAGGTGTGCCGGGCGTTGCTGGGAGACCAGGACCGGAAGGGGCGGGGCGCGGCGCCGCAATTGGCGTTGGAATCGTAGGGGCGGGGCAAGAATGGCAAAGTGCTCTTCGACATTTTTTTGAGTGTGATTGGCCCTCCTGCTTGTCAGTGGACGGACCTATTTAATTAAAGAGGGAGATGCTTACTAAAATCCATTGAGGAAAGCAAGGTAAAAGTTTGATCGATATAAGAAGAATCTCCTGCTCTTTACAACGTGGTTCATAGTTTACTGATAAAATACAAGCTTTATTATTAATGGATTTCATGCCCTGAGATTTCGGACCAGTAAGCCATCTGCTGCCCCCAAGATGCCAATGATTCTGGAAAAGCAGACGTTTCTTCTTAAATCACATGTTTGGTGGAGTCGATGCAGATACAATTCAATTATTGACATCCTCTGTACAGGAAACCACCAGCGCTGTCCTGTCCTTGGAGGACTCATCGGGATGACTAAACCCGAGAGCAGGTGCAGTGGTGGCTCAGAAGAGAACTCTGAGCTGCCTGACCTCATGGGTTGGGAGGCAATAGCTCTCTGGGACAGCAGCCCCCGCCACACACACACACTGCAGGTGATCTCAAATCCCAACCTAACCATTGCAGACACAGCAAGCTGAGCACCATCAAAACAGATGAGAAACAACTGGTCTTGAGTGGCAGTCCTGGCCCAGATGGACAGCAGGAACATCTGTCTGATGCAGTTCTGAGGAAGAGCAACTGAGTCTCGAGCGAGAGGTTCTGGTGGTGACCCTGGGATGCTGAGGAACGTGGCCACAGGACCACTCTGGGGCTTCCTCAAACCTCCCTGAGTTCGATGCCTGCTTTGGTGTCTTGCCCAATCACCTTCTTTGGACTAGGGGGTTCAGGGCAACCTTTGGGGCATCAAGTCCCTTGGAGGAGAAAAAGAGAATTGATATTAAACATTATCTACTACAATTGGCACAACTGAATATTCTCACCTATATATCTTCAAATTTAGATTCTTGGTTTACCCAATAATCATTGTTTACCCATAGTCATTACCCAGTAATCAGTGGTTATAGCTGTGATGGCCACAAAATTAATAGCTAACACTACATAAATTTTATTATTTATTCTAGCGGGAAAAAAAAGATAAAGCTGACAGTGGAAGTAACAATCACTGAAAAATTCTCTAACAGACTATAAAGTAAACATTAAAATGAATCTAGGATTGGTAAGTTTTTCTTTTTATTTTCTTCAGATAACCATCAAAGTTTACCAGCCAATAATCTAAAGAAATCTCACATACATGCTAGGGGAGTGCTACAGGCATCTTAATAGTGTAGTCCCTGCATAGGAAGACCTCCCCCCACCGTGTGGGAGAGGGGCTCACCTGAGTCATTCCAGCTGTGATCCCTCAAACTCAGGGCTTGACTGGTGGCATCGGGGGTGCAGAGGTTGGCTTGATGGCCTGGGAGGGAGCATACATGGCTGAAGGAAAGCACTACCTAGGTGGGCCAGGCCTTGCCCAGGGTTTTAACTCTGCAAGGCTCTCTGCACCACTCTAGACTTTCACCGAGCTCCCAGCAGAAAAACTCACCAGAGCTCAACTCCTTCCCAGAGGGTAAACCAGGTGTGGTGGTGCACACCTGTAACCCTAGCACTCAAGAGCCAAGAACTAAGCATGCATTTTTTCACGTTATCTTTCCCAAGGAGGGCTCCTGGGCCACACATGCTGCAGGTAGGGGACCCTGGGTGGACTGAGTACTGAGGACTGAGCACTGAGTTACAGCAACTCGGGGAGGCCCTGCAGAGCACTTTCCTCCTACAGCAAAGCCAATTTGGTCACAGACTGCCCAGGTCTTCCTTTTGGCCTGGCTTGTTTGAATCATTGGCTAGAAATCTCTGTCCACTCTATCCCCATTCTACCTATCAAGACCCCTCATAGGGCTATTTTTGCAACTCTCATGTAAGTTTTTAATTAGCTCAAAATAATATATTAAAAAGGGAAAGAAAAAAATAGAAAGTCACTATTAGCCAAACAACACAATAACAATTCTTAGAGGCCAAATCATCAATGGATGCTAAAGCAAGCAGGTCAAATTTTTAATGAGAGATAGTACCTCAAGAGTCTATGTACTTCCCCAAGGTATGCAATAACCAAAAGCACCACCATGTGTCATATCTCTGTGACAAGACATGAGATACCATAACCTCAGGGCCACATCCTTAAAGAGACACTTCCCACACTAGTCCTGCCAAAAACGCATTACTTCTGTCCACTCACGACAAGAAGAAAACCCAAACTTGGGGGACATTGGATAAAGTTGTGAACCAGCATTTCCAAAGTGCGAGATGACTGGGAGCCATTTAGGTCCCAAAGAGGTGGGCAGGCCTGACCTGCTGCAGACTCCTTAAGTAAGTGGCAAAGGATGTATATGTGCTAACACAGGAGTTTCAGGGTGGGGGCTGCAGGGACTCTGCTACTTCGGCTTTTCTGTAAATCTAAAATTTGTTTGAAGTTAACATTAATATCCACAAGCACCTCTCTGCCCAGAGCAGAGCAAGAGATGGATGTTCTTTCTTCAGTATCACAGAAGCTACTTTTTGGACAAATTTCCTCAAGCCTTATCACTTTGTAGCCTTTGGGTCCCCTAAATGACTACCACAGAGGCGGATAAAGAAGATGCCCAGCAACACAGCTGACTTGTAAGGTTGGGGCTCAGAGCTTATGCTAGACCTGCAAGAGAAAACCAATGCCCATCCTGCTGCCTGGAGTTCACCCAACCATGGGTGGGGGTGTGTAGTATTATTGTCTACCAGTCCAGCCATGGCCCTAGAGTGACTGTTCAGGACCCTACCCTTTCCTGGGCTCCTAGGGGAAGGAGATTATCTGGGATGGAAAGACAGGGGCCTAGGGGCGGGGGCTCCTAGGGTGTGGGGTCCTGCCCTCAGTATGCACTCCCTACTACCTAGGGGCGCCCGCCCATGGTTGCCTCAGACAGAGGCCTGGAAATTAAGCTCAGCTTACAAAACTCCAGTGAGTCACACTATGAGAGCCCTTTTCAGATCCCTAAAGTCTCATCCCCTAAGGGAAGCATCAGCATCACAAGTCTGGAGGGGTGGCTATTCCTGAGCAGGCCTGTAGGCTTGCAGGAAGGAGGCTATCCTCAGGGCTGAGTTTGCTTACCTGCTTGGGCTTCAGCTTTGGGAGAGGCTTGGTGGGTGGAGCAGGTCTGAGCTGATGAGGAGGGAGAAAAATTCAGAATCCTATAGACTATCCTTGCCTTACCCCAAATCTAAAGAACCCACTGTGCCCTTGCCCTCCCATAACCTTGCTGGATCTAAGGTTTAGTACGATGTCCTGGAGAGACCAGGATAACCTGTCTTCCCTATGGAATGGCAGCTTCCCTGGACCTAGGATCACAGAATCCAGTCTTCAGGCCCCTGACCCTAGAACACCTGGCCATGCAACCTAGGCCTGCTCACCTGATCTGATGTCTGCTGGGTGTAGACAGGAACTGGAACAGGTGGACTACACTTCACTGGAACCTGCAGGGGAGAAGGTTCTCATGAGACGAGGCTAAGGCTCCTACGCCCCTGCCCTCCCCTGCCCCACACCAGGTGCAGGAACTAATGTTATACAGCATCCACACCAGGACCAAATCTTCCTGGCTGGGGATGTGCCAGGGCCCAAGCCCAGACACATAACAATTGCTTTCTCTCAGCCATGTGGATGCATGTGTCAGAGCTGGGAGGATGGCAAGGGTGTCTTCCCCTCAGAGTCACAGGCTAAGAACCCTCAGAGGCACAAGTTAAGTTCATACGCCAATGCAGGTTCCCAGAAGGCAGCTCTTAATGATCAGTCCCCACCATGGGGCGCACACAGCAGCCATACGAGACCCTGGGCCACTGCAGGGCAGATAGATTAATTTACACAAAGGGTTTGGGCCATATCCTGGGGCAGAAGAATGGAGCCCTCATGACTGTCATTTCAGCCCCGTGAACCTGTCAGAGGACAGTGCTTACAGGTGGAGGTGGCCTCTTTGGGGCCAATGTTGGCTTGGGAAGCTGGGTAGATTGGGTGGTCGAGATCAGTGCTGGGGGATTTGGAGTCTTGCTCTTGGTTGGCAAACTGCTACCTTCCTCATGGAACAGTGGGTTGGAGAGCCCCAAGGTGGTCTTGGTTGTTACGCTCCTGCAGAAAAGAAGTGATGACGTAGTCAGAGTCTGGGCCATGGATTTTGGTTCTCCCCTTTTAGCTTCTGTGATCAGAGCCCAGTGGACCCCATGAAACTCCTGAGCCGGATTATCTGGTGGTGAAACACTATTCTGCTTAAATGGTTATGTTTTGATCTGCGCTGTTTTGCTGTTATGCCCTCTTTTATCTCAATCTCCACTCCATTATTTACTTTTTTACTTTTATCCTTTTAATTAAGGGAAAAATAAATAAAAATAGCAGGATATATTATAGTAACCCACTTTGACTTTCCATTATCTCGATTTAAAGCCCTGTATTACTCTCACCATCTTGTTTTTGACTGATGTTCCCCTATTCTGTTTTGCTGGATAGTACCAGGTTCGAAAGTTTAGGCAACAGCTGTGAAGATAATGCGATTCATTATGACGCCCATTCTCGTTGACTTTTATCTACTTTTGAAGACCTACAATGTCTCCAATGTTTTGGTTTTGTTGGTTTTGTTCTTTACTGTTTTGTTCAATTTTATTATAACTAATGATATAGGCAATACTATTAGAGATAGCGGGAGGCATTATGGTAACCATTGTTGATCACCTTGTATTTTTACATTATCTATTATGTCCACCCTTTTGATTTGACCGACTCTGTTCTGTTATGTCACATTTGGTTTTACTCTCTTCCAAAAAAGTAATAAGAACCGTGGGAGCAATAAAACCCAAAATGTGTAATAGTCATTGTACAAAAGAGAGGAAAAGAAAGTGCTCTAAACTATATAACTGCATGTATATTTAAGTGTGTAAGATAGAAAATGATATCACTGAGTTTTATTGGATCATTGAACAGATCTGTTTGCAGTATCATTGTTGGAATGTCCACTTTACAAGCTTTAATTTTGTGACTTGAACAATTATTTCTAAGATGACAATATGTAATCCATTAACTAGTGATTTCCTACTGTTTATTTTTTTTTTCTGTAAATCTGTATAACTTGTACCCTTTCTCTGCTTTTTTTTTCTCCTTAAATAAAATAAAAAAAAAAAAAAAAAAGAAACTCCTGAGCCTCAGCCTTGGCCCACCAATTTATGGGGAGACTAAGTTGCTTAGTCTCTCTGCCGAGGCCAGATACATGAAGCAGTGGGTTTTCTTCCTCAAATGGCAGAGACCATTTCCTAACAGCACAGGAAGATGTGCATCCCACATGCAGATGTGTCACAACTAGTATGTCCTCACCTTCTCTGAACACGGCACCACGCCTTTTGGTAGATAATGACACCTGCCACGACGACCATCACAGCTGCCAGGAGTACCAGGACCACCAACACGCTAACTGGGAGTCCCCTGGATGCTGTGGGACACACGGCCAGATGTCAGCTTGGGCTGGGTGCTAGCTAAGTGGGGGTTGGGACTAGGGATGGTCCTTCAGAGATGAAGCCTTCTTGCTTCCCTGGGCTATGCCCTTTGTCCCTGGGGGATCCTGCCCATGCCCCACACATGGCTAAAAACTTGAGAACCCCCCAGAGGAGGGCCCAGAACATTACACCAGTGCTCCTTGCTCTCCAGAAATGAGTTGGAAGGCACAATGGTGAGGGGCCTCTGATCACAGGGTCATGGATGTGGCCAAGCCAGACCTTTGAGGCCGTAGTGCTATGGGCAGCCAATGGTCAGGAGCCACTGGGGAGGAAGACACTGTGGCAGTGAATAATTTGGGTTCCTGGGCCACAAATGGACTAGATGACTTGGACTGAAGACCATCAATCTCACTCTGGGCTGGGCACTGTCCTCAGTCTTCTTTAGGAGGTAGGGACATGGCCTCCCTCCTGGTGCCCAGGGCTGCAAACGATCCCCTGAATATCAGCTCTTGTGGTGAGAGGTATAGGCTCTAAACTTAGACCTGGATACATCATGGCCCTGCACACCTGGGCAATGAGGGCCTTAGAAGATCCAGGATATCAGACGCTGCTTACCTTTGTACACATCTGTCAGCAGCTCTGTACAATAAGGAGGGGCCCAGCCTGCGTGGCAGTGACACTCACTCTTGTGGTTGCATACCTGGAGGGATGGCCAGACGTCAGAGACAGGTATGGTACCCAGGGAGTAGTGGCTACACTTGCAGCACAAGGGACCTAGCCAGTCCAGCATAGGGATGGCCCTCTGCATTCCCATTCTTGAGTGCCCTGGGATCTCCTCAGTGCCCAATAATCACAGATATCTTCTCCATAGTACATCTGCCCTGGTCTCTGGTCCAAGTGAGGCATGTAGAAACACCCACTGACATAACAGGCAGGGCTAGTGTGTGCCTTTGTTTCTATATCCAAACCTATCACTATGAATGGCTTCCATTTGACACAAAAGCAGTAGCAATAGCCTCAGCTCTGAGGGTAACAGGAAGGGGAACATTGTCCCTTGAGGGCATACTTACCCCATGGTTGTGGCATTTGGCAGAGCAATTCTGGGATCTGTAGACCTGGAGGTCCTGGCAGTGCCCTTTCCAACAAACCTGGAGGGCATAGGGGGTCTCTCAGATAGCTGGTATGAACCTCCTGTCGTCACCCTCCCACTCTCACCACTCAGTGGGCAAGCTCAGGGTAGGGCAGCATCCACGACAATCATGCCCTTGATCATCTTCCAGCATGCTTTGGTCACGAGGGCAGAGTGAGGCTGGCCAAACTAGCCCCTCTAGGTGTACAGCAGTATCCAAACTATTAAGTGGGACTAGCTGCCTTGACTTCCACTGCTCATTTTCTCAGTTTTAACTAAAAGTGTGCAGAAGACTTCATTTATACACTTCCCTGGCTGCCCAGCTTAGCTCACCTTCCCATCATCGCACTTGGTGCCCTCAAGCACCAACTCATAGGCAGCAGTGTTGCTGTCCAGATTGAGAGCTCGGCAATGGCCCCAGTTGGAGGTTAAGGTGCAGAAGAAACGCCCTCTGGGTTCCTGTCCCCCTTCGCAGTACAGGACACCACATCTATTTAGTTGGTAGACAGAAGGCAGGCTGTGGTCCCAGTTGTGCTGGGCACATGTTCAGGGGGCCTGGATATTGCAGGAGATGGGCCCAGGGCTCTCCTCTCCTCCCTCCCACAAGGAAGACATGCTCAAGCTAGGGTCCTGGACGGCAGGATGGACCACCAGGAAGCCACAGGATTGGATTCTTCTAGTACTAGTCCTAGCACTGGGGACAACCATTCTGTACTAGTCCTACCACTGGGGACAACCCATGTCTTGAGTCCAGGGCAGTGTGGCTTTGGATGTTTACCTGTTTATGCTAACAGAGGTTCTGACATTGCAACCTGGCAAGAGGCTATTTGTGAAGCAGGCATCTGTGGCAGGCCATGCACCTATTGGGCCAGAAGGTATTAGCCAAGCTGAGGCCCATGGCCAACAACTGGCCATATGTCCCATGCTTATGTCTGCCTCACCTGACCCCCACAACTCCTTGCACCGATGGGTCATGGTGGGGCAGTTCCCATTAAAGCAGTAGCCTCCTTGGCAGGGTGTCCCATTCTCCTGGAAGGCATCCTCAGGGCACATTGGATGCTGGCCATCACAGAACTCCTCCAAGTCACACCCATCCTTTGCATGACGACATAGTTCACCAGCTGGCTTCACCTGGTCCCACAGAGAAAGCCACCATGGGACAGGCCCAAGCACTGCTCTCTCTGGCATCAGCAGCCCTTCTCATTGCCTAGGATTCTCCTGGGCAGGCCTGGCTTACCTTACACTCATAGCAGCATTCACCATGCGCACAGTGAGCCCCTTTAACCAGCTGGCAGGTAGTGGCATTGCAGCAGCGGTTCCGACAGTCCTGTGGGATCACACCCTGAGCAGCTGCATCTGGGGCCAGTGCCAGCTCCAGGGTGGACCAGCCCCTATTGGTCACCTGGGGACTCAGCAGCCCCTATCTCTCTTCCCTTATGGATCATGGCAGGGGTATCAAAGGAGAACAGAAGTGACTAATGCCCAAGGTCCACTGTGCTATGGTGCACGGTACACCTAGGCTGGGTGGTCATTTTACACTGCAGAGGCAGAGGTTGCAGCCCCTACACAGATGCAGCAGAGATAGGGGCTGGGGTGGCACACACCTGGGGACTACCACAGTCACACTCTTCTCCATGCTCCACAAACAGGTTCCCACACACGGGGCCTCCCACCAGTCGGTCTACATCAGGGAAATTGGCCAAGCAGTCCACTTCAGGTCTCTGTATAAATGTCTCCAGATCTGCCTGGCTGCACTTGCTGAACATCCTAGGGAACTTGGACCTGAGGCAGGGGTATTGTGGTCAGGGACAGTGTGCAGCACTGCCCCTTCCGCTCTGCTATGCCCCATGAAGTCTTACCCAATGCTGCCTGACATGATGCAGCCACCACCTTCCTGTGGCACAGGGCAGTAGCATCCCTGGATGGTTTCATCGTGTCTCATGCCCAGGTTGTGGCCTAGCTCATGCGCCATGGTGGATGCCACACCAATGGGGTTCTGACTGTGGTCCTGTGGGAGGGCTGTGTTCACTGAGAATGCCCCTCAGCCTGTCTACCCAAGCCCACTTCCCTTGTCTCAGCACCCAGAGGCTTAATGCTGTTTCCTGCCAACATCTTAAAAGAAAATATCAAGTGGCAACACCCTCGCACAAGAGGCGGCCAATTGGCTATGCTTCAGGGAACATGGATGATGCCCCGCTGTATCCAACTCAGGCTCCAAGCCCCGCTGCCCACCTTTAGGTATGGCAAACCCATGCAGGGGTTTCCTTCACCTGGTTCACAGCCCCTGAATGCCAGGAGCACAGGGCAGACACCTTAGCTAGTCCCACGGTGGCCCCAGTGAAGTCGACATGCCTAGAAAGGAGCATACACAGACATGAGGACACAATTCTCCAGCCCCTCCTCATTCCCACAATTCTCTGCCTGGGTACCTTGGCCTAGAGGCCAGGCTGGACAGAAGCTATGTGACCAACTGGGGCTCAGCTGTTCACTGCATGGGTGTGGTAGGTGCGCCTGCTCACGTGATAAGCTGCACATTGTCGTGGGCAAGCCGTCCTGTTAGGGCTTGTGCCCTCCAGGAGAGGAAGTTGTCCAGTGTGACATTGGCGTGAGGGCTTATGTAGATCTCGTCCCTGGTCCAGATCTCTAGGCCCACCAGAACCACACGGAAATTGAATTCCTGATAAAGCTACAGAGAAAAAATTCTCTGGGTCAGGTCAGGCCCTAAAAGGTTGGCTGGAGTAGGATGGGTGGAAAGCAGATGTCACATGCCATCTGCTGCCAGGAGCCCTGGGCATGGGAACTGGCCAAGTCCTGAGCTTAGACCAGGGCCCTAAAGCTGCCCCTCTCCTACCCACTCCAGGCCTATAGAACCATGCCTCTTTCCCAGGTTCCTACATGCCTTGGCAGCCAGAGTATCACCTGCCTCCAAATGGACCCCTGCTGTTGAGGGGCCTTGGAAACCACTACAGGAAAGACCCTTGCAGCTCTTGAGGAGACCCCTCTGGGTGAATGCAATCCTCCTACCTTGTCCACGTGGTTCACCACTTCCAGCACCCGCCTGCGAACAGCCTCTCTGCTCCCCAAGTACTGGAGCTGGGGATGCAATACCCTTAGGCTGGTACCTAGCACCCCAGGCTTGGCCCTCCTGGCCCATTCCCCCCTGTGCCCTCCACCCACCTCTCTGCTGTCGGTGACCACATATAGCTCCACATAATGGGTCTTTTGGGATAGCAGTGAGTTCTGCAGGAGAGACCAGTTAACCTTTCCAGCCACAGCCTGTCCTGGGCCCAGCCACCCTACCGTGTTGGGAGGAACTGTCCAGGCAGCTGCAGCATTAAGTTAGGCCCACCTGCCTGGGTACAGTATTGGGATGGCTCTGGAGCTGCACAGAGCAATGTCCAGGCCCAAACAAGTGGACCACATTAGGGCTGGCCACATAGGGGCATGCAGCTGCTCACCCAGGGCTGATGCTTAAAAGTCGCCAAGAATCGAGGCCCCAAGATGTTCTCCACCTCAACATCGCTGACACCACAGGTCCCAGTCTTCTGCTGCAGGTGCTTGGCGTGGTACACAGCATGTTGCCCCTCTTCACCACTCCCATCCAGAGGTTCGATCAGATGGGTGGCAGAGCCCACCCGAAAGAAGCCCCTGAGGGAGAAGAAGGTAAACAACAATTTTGTTGGCCTGTCCCCACTGCTTATCTGGGAGGACAGGGGCTCCAATCTGGTGTACACAGGCTTCTCTACATTGCAGTCAGTGATACCCTCCCAGGTGACACACAGGTCCAGGGCACAGGAGGCAGGAGGGTGTGTAGGAGTAGGCATCTTAGGTTTGCCACTGGTGACTTTTAACAGGATCCCTGCGTAAACATCTTTGCACATTCTGCTACACAGGTGGGAGGAAGGCATGTCTCCAAGACTAGGTTTAAAGCCCTTTCTTTTGTTTGGGTTCCCCCTTCTGTAAAGCACACACCTGAGACCACTGCAGGTGCTAAGGCTGGCGGCAGAGCCCTGGTGCCCCTCCACGTGGCCCTGATAGAGGCAGTGGTCCTATAGAAAAAACATGAAGGGTCACTGGCCCTGCTCCTATGAGCCCTTAACCCAAGAAGGACTGCCTTGGCCTTGGCCCCTTACCTGCCCAGGCAGTTGTTCTGTCACCTTGGAGCCATCAGCAGCTGAGTAGGTCTCTGTGTAGCTGGAGCCCAGCAGTTCTCTGGAAAAAAATCACTGGAGCTGTCTGGGCCACTTCTCCCCAGTCTCCTTCCAGGGGCAGTTAGGCCAGAAGCTGGCTGCCTAGGGTACAAGTGCTAGAGCCTCCACTGCTGGCTCAGCCAAGGCCCAACCTGAGGGGACAGCCTTGTGCTCACCTGTTCTTCCGCAGGTGCAGAATGAAAGTGTGCTTTTCAGTTCCAAGGACGTAGCTCACCTTCTCGGGGTACAGGCCCTGGGTGAGGCATTCTGGGTAAGTGACCTCCAACCCCAGGCCATCCCAGAACCTCCCTGAAAACCTTCTGTATGGGACTCTCATCAGCCTCAAGCAGGCCACAAGGTAGCTGAGGCGGACTGGGTTGTTCTGGAGGGGGTAGAAGCCACCTCCTTCAGGGTGGGCAAGAAAGACACAGTTCTCCATCATCGAGGCCCTCAATTTTTTCTGGACACAAGAGCAAGGACAGGGCTAAGACAGGCCCCTCTCTGGAAACACATTCATGTGTACCTCACACATGCATCACACAGACACCTATAGACAGACACACATATGCACACCCACCCACTGGACTTTCAGGAATCTTCTTGGCCAGCCTACAAGACTGTTCTCAGATTTCAACCCAGGGGAATCCCAGCCCAGCTCAGAGGCTCAAAAAGGTGTGTCACTGCACAAGTAACACCCTGCAGTGAGCCATCCCGCTACTCAAGAGGAATTTGGTCTATTAGCTAAGCCAAGTGAAACTCGGGAGTGGCTTGATTCAGTACAAACTACCAGGAACCTCTTGAGATTAGGTTGGAAAGGCTCCTAAGGAAAGGGGATAGTGAGTCCCAGTGCCTAACAAGGAGGCCCCAGGTTTTGCCCAGGATAGAGCAGGAGGAAGCAAGAAGATGAACATAGGAGGGAGGGTCCTACAGTCAAGCCTTATGCTCACAGGTCCAATGGGCTGCAAGCCCTTCAGGGCCCTCCTGCAAACCCCAAGGCTATACAGGCAGCTCCTCCAACTGTGACCACAGAAATAGGTGCTGAGGGGGCAGTCTCATGAATGGGCAGTAGAGACTTACCCAATGGGAGGTCAAGGTTCGACGGGCACGGGGTCCAGGCAGGCGCTTGGGCCACACTACCTCATACTGGTCCACATGAGGCAGAGGGTTGCTGAGGGCAATCACTGCAGAAGAGAGGGGATGAGTGGGTACCGGGAGGGCCCCTCCTGCCTGGCTGACTTTCCAAGGCTGGTGTAGGACTGCCCAGGGGATCACCAGATGGCTAAGGATCCAGCAATGGTAAGACCTGTCCTGTGCCTAAAAAATCATGGGACCCTAGAGGAGAGGTGGGAAGGTACAGCAGACTGAGTCTGGCACACTGTGCAAAGTGCCCAGAGATCCTGTCCCATTCCGCCCCCCTGGGTATCCTCTACTCAGGGAGGATGCCCACAGACCCTGGGCTGGGGGTGGGGGTAGGGACAGCTCTGCTTACCCAGCACTTAAGAGATGACACCTTTTCATCTCTAGTACCAAGATCACATCTAACTGGGGAACAAATCAGCCACTGTCCACCCCCTCAGTTCATTTCCTCAGAACTGAGAACTTCCTAGTGTCCATCTGACCAGGGCCACTGTCCTCAGGGAGCAGGTCCAGTTTAGGAAACCACTTACTCCAGATAACTTTATCCTTTTTAAAGAATGTGTCCATGACCACTATCTGGCAAATCTCCAGGAGACAGAGGTTGCAGTGTCCCAGAGCCAGGTGGGCACACCACACCACCTCAAGCCAGAAGGTTCCCAAGGCAGTGGTTCACCAGGTCCCTCTTGGCCTGAGGCACATCCTCAGGTGGCTAGGGAGTCCCTTCCTCTGCCTCAGCCCACATAACTCTGAGCTTCTTTCCTTACCTGTTGGTAAACCCAGTTGCAGGGGGTGTGCCCTGTGGTCTTTATCCCTCTTGGATACCAATCGACCTAGAAAGCTCAGGAAAACGCCCTAAGCAACTTCTCTTAAAAGACAAAGTTCACCTTTGAAAGTTTCTCTGGCCTTTGCTGCCCCCCTTTCTGCCCCAGCCTCTCTGCTGAGTGAGTACCTTCACATCCCCCCCTCCCTGCTCCTAGTTCGAGGGAGTAACGTGACTCAGCCGGCGCCCAGAGTTCTTGGAGCGCTGTGCCAGGGCCCCAGAAACCAACCACATACCACTCACCTTGCGGCCACAACGTGCTGAATATCCAGAGCTTAATGCCGTGCATAGTTTGATCTCAGTTCGGATGGGGTCGGACAGGAATCTGCTAGGTCCAGTGGAGAGGGCTCTGCAAGACTACACCTCGGGCCCGCCCAGGAGAGAGTGCAGGCCAATCAGGCCCGAGGGGCAGGGCGTACCTGGGAAAGGTCGCCCCACCCACCACTACTCGGCAACCTGGCCTCCAGTACAGCCTGGGCTGCCCAAGTACTTTCCTCTGTGACTGCCTGTATCCCTGTGTCTTTCTGGACCCCATAATTTTGGGACCAGATTAATGGGGTTAAGGGTGCGTTTAGAGAACCAACTTGGAGCTATCCCCAAAACTCTGCCTCCCCCTCATGTAGATGGGAAAGCTAAGGCGGTGACGTTCCCAGTCCTGTCAAGAGCTCTGGAGCCCAAGGTGGTCAGCTGGAGTAAAGTGGTTCTTGGAGGGGAAGTAACTTGGGGGTGGGGGCCCTCCGACTTCCTGAAAAACAGAAAACCACAGGCAGTAACAAGAAGTGGCATTGTGGGTACAGGACCAGCCCTATAGGAGGTGACACCAAAACCTTGTGCGGAGCTTCTGAAACTTCACTGAGCAGTCAGACAGGTGGGGTGTCCCATCCTAGGGACTGCCTGAGCTGCCCCTAGGGGCAGGCCTGTAGTCCTGCTGTGGGGTCCCAATGTAAGAAGCCTTGGTTGCTGCCATTCCTGCCCTGCAGGGTGAGGCTGCACCATACCAGAGCCTGTAGCCCGTGCACTGTGGCATGGCTCCCAGCTTCTCCAGGTGGGTCACAAGGGAACCCTGGACTCCTGGGTTGTGGGCAAACCTGTTTGTCTTTTGTAGCAATGTCCCCCACTGTGGCTCAGCCTGGTAGGTACAGTCTCCCCAGACTCACCTCCACCAGGGACAATCTAAGGAGTAAGGCAGCTGGGCAGCTCAGCCTTCTTCCTGTTCTGAGAAGGGAGAGCATGGCAGATCAGGGGCCAGACCAACAGGAAGACAGGCAGGGCCGGGGCCTTTGAACTATCCAGGACATTGCTGGAGATTCTGGCACACTATTGTCCCTCATGAATGATCAAGTAAAAATGAAGCAGGGGCTGGGGAGTTAGCTCAGTGGCATAAGTGCCTGCCTTGCAAGTGTGCGGTCGTGAGTGTCGATCCCTGGTATCGATAAAAAATAAAAAGAAAAAAAAATGAAGCAGGATGTTAGGGTATCTCAGGGGAAGTGACAGGCCACTCAAGGCATTAACCTGCAGTGCTGGAGGCTCTTGGAGCCCCCAGGATGTTAGTGGGGCTCTGGAGTTGGGCTGGTTTCTGCCTGAAGTCACGCATGCTTTTGGTAGTTTTAGTTTTCTTCCTTGCTCTTCCATTACAATTATTTGACAGCAAAAAGTTCAAGGCAAAACAATATTAATCACATTAGAGGCAAGACCAAAGATACTGTCAGTGTATATCACTGCTTGATAACTAAACTCAACTACTCATATTGAAGCCGATATAGGTGAAGCTGAATAGAAAGGGATTTGTATCAACTGGGACCAGCCTACTAAACAGTGAACCTTGACAGTGGTCAAGATTCACTGTGCCCTTCACTAAAAGAACCCTCCAGACACAACCAGTGCCTATCTACCCCACAGAACAGACACATCTCTACCCACCTACGCTGCAGGCTGTGGAAGTCTGGAAGCCAGGATGCCAGACTCAAATCTTCCCCTCCACCACCCTGACCACTTGGTAAGCTTGGGAAATAAAGGCTAAGGGTCCAAAATAAGGGATTTCTGGTTCTTTGCTGCAGGCCAAGGAGCTCTCCACCTCAGTCTGGCATTTATTGTAGCCACTGGGTTGGCAGATGGATGTAAGTACTCAGTCAAGTCTGCACAAGTTACAGATTAGAAAAGCAGTGTGTGGCCAGAGAACTGAGCACCCCCTTGGAGAATTGTCCTGAGCAAGGCAGCCATAGTATAGGCATCGGGTTCAGGGCATCTCAGCTTACAGAAAAGCCTGTTCTGCAGGCCACTCCTCAGTGGGTACACTCAGGGAAGTGGTCTAAGAAGAAAACCACACAGCTGCCCAGGGTACCCAGAAGGCAATCTTCACAGCTTGGCAGTATGCTGCCCCCTAGTGCCTGGACCTAAAGGAACCCTCAGACTTCAATGTTCTGGGATCTCTAGGGAGCCCAGCCTTGGCCCTCAGGCTGTATCTCATCTAGCACACAGCACTGGTATCTTGCTTATTGCTCATATGCCATGTTCGTTGTGGTGGTGGGAATTTTTTTCTTTGTACCAGGGATTCAACTTATGATCCTGCACTTGCCAGGTAGTGCTTGTGTCACTGAGCTAAATCCCCAGCTTGTGTTGGTGATTTTTAAAAACTCTGTCTTTGAGGCCCAAAGCACTAAAAACAGACAGTAAAGAAAGACATCACCCTGGTCTGAGAAATTCTGTAAAACAAAACTTCACACCTTAAAAAACGAAACACACAGAGCCAAGACTGTAATTCAGATCTAATATTTAAATAGTAACAGCACGCACAACATATGTGTTACAGGAACATCTGATTTAAAAATTCTGAGACCACTGAATCACAGCACTGGCTGGCTCTCAACTCTTCCTCCAAGCCGTGGTCAAGGTTCACTGTGCAGTGACTGCCACTCTGGGTGCTGGTGCTGGCGTGGGGGGCCCACGTGGGACAGGTATTTGGGGGGCTGTTTTCTGGCTTCTTTCTGCAGACAGGCGTTCCAGTCGCTCTGTGTAGAAGCCATTGAAATCGAGCCTGTAAGAGGGAAAACAGAGCTGGGGGTCCTCTTAGGGTGAAACACAGACACCATGCTAAGGAAATGCATGGGTATACAAGTGCCTGCCACATGTGGCCATGGTGGCAGCCCCATTTCTCCCACACAGGTAACTCAGGGCCTCCTCCAGGCTGAGGCCAAGGTTGAGGGGCGTGTGTTCCACAGGGCCAACATACAACACACACACACAAGCCTCAGCTTACACAGCCTTCACTGCTTTAAACAATACAGAGATGAGGCCTTGAAAACATGAAAACTACAGGCCAAGCAGCAGAGCACCTCACAAGCATTTCGGTAGAGTAATATCCAGAAGGGAACAGCTGCTGGCACAGCTGCAGACTACTGTCTCAGTCCCCAGACGTTGGGACTTCCATCATCCCAGCAACATCTGGCAATCTCAAGGAGAAGGCCCTGAGGGTGCCCAGACACGAGAAACTTCACAGCAGTTCTGTGGTAGGTGAACTCAGAAGCTTTCATTCGAGAAACCAGGATGTCAGTGGGTGGCAGAGAACACCAGGTGCTCTCATTGTACAAACAACCACCTTCCCAAGGGCAGTGCAGGAACAGCACCTCTTCCTGGCTAAAGCTGGGGCCCATTTCCTAACTGCATCCTAACAATGAACAAGCTATTGTCTTCACTAAAGAGCCCCCAGCCAACCTCTCCTCCTTCCACTGTCTTCAGCCAGTACAAGGAACCTGACTGCCAGGGGCTCAGGCGGCAAAGACTATGGCAAATAGAGGTGAGAAGATGGGAAGACAGCCAGGGTGGCCACAGTGGTGGCAATGCATACCTGGAGATGACGCTGGCCATGCCATGCTCACAATCACTTGTGCTATAGACGCTCAATCGAGCAAGCAGATCAAGTAGATGAGCAGAAAAGTTCTTGTCAAAGTTATTGATGGTGGCCTCAAAGCCAGAGGCCATCTGAGGGGTGTCCACAGGCTCTGCCAGGTGCTAGAAACAAAGCCCAGAGCAGTAAGCGGTACTAGCTCCATGGGGGAACCTCAGCTTTTGCACTGAACCTACATCTGTTTGCATCTTTTTTTCTTCTATTTAAATCAAAGAAATGGATCCTGGGACTTTTTGTGTGATAAGGGTAGGAAATCACGGTGTCAAAAATTCCTGAGGCCATAGCACATGGAAAAATACTTCAGGTAACTAGTGCCTCCCATGCTGGGGGCTTCCCCAGGGGATAAACACTTCAGTTGTGCCACCTAATGGGTTTGCTCTCTTAGGTCAGATTTTCAAGTTGATGCTATTTTTTCCTGGCTAGTTGGCAATGGGGATGAACTTAGCTTTATGGCCCTACTACTCCCTGTCCTGTCTTTTCTTTGCCACATCAGCATGAGACCGTGTCTCCTGGCCTCAAAAGACACCGATTATCTGTACCTGCTGAGCCACTTGTCTGTTCTTATCTGGGACTGACACTCATCAGTCATAGTGCCCTAGACTTGGCCCATACAATACTGTTCCACAGATACAGCCCCAGTGGGCTGAGGTGAGGAGCAAACCCTGAGAAGAGAGGAAACACTTGAGCCTGAGTTTGCAGCCAACTTCAACAGTCATCTTCTCATCAAAAAGGTAGTGCTTTTCAGACAGCTGAGACGAGGATGAGCTCTCAGGTCATACACCTTCCTGGAAGGATTCTTCTAGGTTGCTCCCTGGCCCACTTGGCTTCTGTGGGCAGCCCGAGGATAGAGCCTTGCTCCAGAGCTAGTTGGCCTAGTTCAGTGCCCAGTTTCATGCTCTGTATAAATTTCTAGGGGAACCATCATGAGGAAATGCTACTGTCCCCTGAAAGTCTCATATGCTCAGAGGTACAGCTTTTGCAAGGTGACTGGGGCACTGTAATCTTAAATAGATTAATCTATTGATGAGCTCACAGCTGAATTGAAGGGAATATGGTACATGGGGGCATGGCATGGGAAGAATATATCGCACTTTGCAACCAATTTTAATTTTTATTAGTACACATTTGCAGTAGATGATGATTACATACATTGTGGGGAGTTGGAACATGTACGTAACACATCTTAATTCTTTTTACATCACCTTCTTCTCCTCTCCCTGCATCCTCCCTCCATCTCTTGGTCCCCTTTCCATTTGCAAAAGATCTGTTTCCTATTATTTGCCCTTTAATTTCCTCTTTTGTTATTTATGTTTTTGGGTTTCTCTTGTGAGAGAAATGGGGGATATTTAAGCTTGTGTGTCTCATTTATTTCACTTAGTATTATATTCTCAAGGTGCATCCATTTTCCTACAAATGACTCACATTTATCCTTCTATATGACAGGGTAGCTCTCCACTGTGTATAAGTACATTTTCTTTATCCATCCTGCCATTGATAAACACCTAGACTACTCCCTTAGCCAATATGAATTATGCTACTATAAATATGGCCGGTATCATTGTAATATGGCATATTTCACTCTCTCAGGGAGATTCCTAGAAAAGGAAGGGCTGGGTCATGGGAGGGTGTGTTCCTGTTCCCTAGTCCCTCTTTGTCTTTCTGCTTCCTGGCTGCCATCTCAGGCAGCTTTTCTCACCAGTCCCTTTCATCATGCAGTTTCTGTGTGGCACTGGACTGGATCCTCTAAGATCATGCACGAGTCAAAACAAACCTCTCCTTCTTTAAATTGCAGGTGTTAGGTATCTTGTCCCAGTGTGGGAAAGTGACTAATACAAAAAACTGATGCCCGGGGCTGGGGATTTAGCTCAGTGGCATAAGCACCTGCCTTGCAAGCAGGCAATTGTGAGTTCGATCCCTGGTGCCGATAAAAAAGGAAAAAGACAAGTACTGGTGGCAAGTTCAACACCAGTACTTGCACTTGATGCCCGCACTGCCTGTCCCTACTTATACCTGCTTGCATACTGCCTACCTGCATGCAGTTGGTGAACATGACGCACACAGACATGAGCTTAGAGAAGACCTTCAGCAGCTCAGGATTGGTCAGCATGCAGTCCTTCAGGCAGTTGTCCAGGAAGCTTGTGTGATGGCCAAGGACATCGTCAATGTTGGAGGCCTGCAAAGAAACAGCTGAGACTCAGCACTGCACCTGTTCTCCAGATGTCATGGAGAATGCTCTGGGCATGCGGCTCTCAGTTTTGCCTTCGTACACTTCTGCTTTGGTTTGCATTCCTGGGGATTGAATCCAGGGCCTTACATATGCTATGTGAGTGCTCTACCACGGGGCTACATCCTTTTATCTTCAGCCTACTTTGTATACTGCTCCCCAACCCAGTTTTACTGAGACAGAGTCTTGAGCACACTATGTAGCCCACGTTGGCCCTGAAATCGTGATCTTCCTGCCTCAGCCTCCCAAGTGCTGCATTTACAGGAGTACACTGCTTTTGTATATTTCTATCATTTAAATGAACCTATGGTCTCTTAGAAACTCCGTTTCACCCCCTCTGGCTCTCTCCCTCCCATGCACCGCTGAAGAACAGCACTATCTGTACATGGGAACAGGATGCTGATTTCCCCTAACTAGGAAGGCAGCTGTACAGCTGGGCACATGCTCACAGCAGCTCTGACACCTAGTCAGTATGTGACTGGGGACTATGCTATGAAATCAGTGGCTGGCAAAGTGCTTTGCAAATGTTACAGTGCATGAAGAAGAAACTCACAGACTTCAGGTTTTTCTCAAGGATGTGCCAGGTTGGCTCCATCACCTCAAACATCATGTAGTACTGAATGTTCTGAACGAAGTTGAGCATTCGCTGCCGCAGAGTGAAGGCGCCTGCGAACCTGAGTGCAGGAGACAGTTACAGAAGAGTGACGTAACGCTGGCAACTCTATGGTGTCCATCATGTGCTGATGGCTTCTGCCACCAGTACTTGCACCTCCCCAAGCAGAAAACTCTCATGTTTATAGCTTCTGTGCACTGATGATGGCTTGGACACAGGCTTGAGGCTGCCTGCTCCCATCTCTGGCTGCATCAGGTTGTCAGGTGAGTTTTCTGCCCAGGACTTGGGCCAGCCAGCACCCACTGGGGAAATGGAACAAGGTCCCTGGTTAACTAAGTCACTCAGCTGGTAGATGGCCAACATAGGGAATGACCCCAGAGGCATATGCTGTAATATGTGCTTTGCTGAGGCAATCTCACCATTAGCTGGTTCCACAGACAGGTGTAAAAGGTCCCTGGGGGAACAGACTAGCTCCCTGCACAGAGCCACTCTGTATGCTTATGAGGAGGGAACACAGGCTCCTGAAGGGCTTGTGTCCACCCAAAGACCCAGGCAGTCAGAGCTGTGCCATCACCACAAGAAGACGACTGAGGGACACAGTCAATTTTCCCTGCCAGTGTACAACAGTTCTGTATTGCCAAACCACAAAAGCTGATGCATCACGGAACGAAACTACAGCCGTGATTTTCAAATTATTTTTTTCCAAACGTCTAAGATGTAAAACCACCCCGGAGGGAACTGGAAGGCCACAATTGGACACACCACTTTGCTGAGTGCAGTGAATATTGCTTGGCAGTTTTGTTGCTGATCCAGACGCTGCAGAGCTGCCGCTCCACATGTTTGCAGTAGAACATATGTCTAAAGAGCATCTGGTAGCGGGTGAGCGCCTTCCTGCAAAAAAAGGGCATGTCGGAGGTCACGAATGGCAAATGGTCTGTCTTCTCACAGCCTGAATCATAAGTACCAGCAATTAGGAGCCATCTCAGAAGGTCCTAAAGAATGAGGCAACTTTGAGTGGGCAGTCCCTGTTTCCTGAAATCCTGGATAGATATTCAGAAACTGTCTCCAAGTGGCCAAGTTCTTACCTATTGATGATCAGTGAGAGGGGCCACTTGACAATGTAATCAAAGGAGAAGGCTTCCAGGCCACTTAGTGTGAGCTCAGTGGGATCTGCATGGGTCATGGCCTTCTCCTGCTTGGTCTCAATAGCCAGAACCCGTAAGAGCTGAGTGATGAGGTCATGAGGCATCAGGTCAATCTTAGGAGAAAAATAAGAAAAAAAAGCATCACGTATCTTACTTGAAAAAGCAAGTAAGTTTCCTAACAACTAATGCTAAATATTGAAGACCATGTTAAAAGTCAAACACCTATTGATATCCTAATTCAAAAATTAGGCTGAAGGTTCTAACTCAATGGTGAAGCACTTTCCTAGTATATGTGAGGCTCTGGGTTTAATAAAAAGCACAACAAAGGGAAAAAAACTATTTTCTATTAAAGTTGAAAAGAAAAATTCAGACAAGTTACTTTTTAAATTCCCCTCTACTGCAGTAGATGGTACAAATGAAAAGTCACAGGGGAATTCAAATAAACTCTCATTCCTTAAGATTGAAACTTTTTTTTCATAAGACACCAGCCCTAGGCTGAAAGACAAAGCATATTTGGTGACAGATGTGACAGCAATTATATACAAACAGCACCATCCACAATATTAATTTATTCGAGTATTAAGCAGTAATTATATGCCAAGCATAATGATTCCTATAAGTATAGTAATCCCCAAGTATAATAAGATTCCTATAAAAAAAAAAACAAGAACAAAAATGAAGGATGAAAAAAAAAAGGGAGAAACAAACAGCTCATGAATGGAAGAAACTGCTTACCATCTCATAACACAGAAATGGAAATTCAGCTGACATGTTTCCTGACCATCAGAGAAACACAGATGTGGACATCAGGTGGACAGATATGATGCTCTTCAGTCCCACTGCCAGGGCTTCACACAGTTCCAGTAAGGTCAGATGAGGTGTTAAGGCCCTGTACTCTGACTCAGTGGTTCCAATGCTAGGAATTAATTTATCCCATAAACTTACTTTTATACCTAATAAGAGACCTTAAAATGTATGCAACAAGGGCAGAATTTAAAGGAGGAATGAAGTTCTAGGGAAATGGGGGAGATCAGCATCCAATCCAGAGGACTTAGGCAGCACAACACACCCACTGGCACCTACGCTCTCTGAGGGGTACCTGGACATTCTTCAGGACACACACGAGGCCCAAAAGCCAGATGTGATCATTTTATAAAACTGAGATCACACAAAGTATATTCAGGCTGGGTGTGGTGGCGGCACATGCTTGGAATCCCAGCATTTAAAGCTGATGCAGGAGGACCACCATGAGTTTGAGGCCAGGCTAGGTCACACAATGAGTTCAGGGCAGCATAAACTACAAAGCAAGACCCTATCTCAAAAAAAGGGTATTCTTTTTTTTTTTAATTTTTTAAATTTTTTTTTTTTTTTTTTGGTCTTTTTTGAGATGGGGTCTCGCTATGCAGTTCACGCTGGCCTTGAGCTCACTTTGTAGCCCAGGTTGGTCTCGAACTCACAACGATCCTCCCACCTCAGCCTCCCGAGTGCTGGAATTACAGGCATGAGCCACCACACCCGGCTAAAAAGGGTATTCTTCATGCCCAACATGCTCAAGTTAGAAATAAGAAGGAAAAATAAAAATTTTATAGGTCTGTGGAATTTGACTCAAACAAAAATGGTCAAAGAAAGAAATCGTAAGGGCATTTAGAAGCTTGAGATAGGTATGGGGTGCAGATAGTGGGCTCAACTTCCAGTACCAAAAAAACTAGAAATTAAAAAAAAAAATCTGCAAAATCAAAACTAATAGGACATCAGTCTTCAGAGGGACACTTGCAGTTGTGGACACTTCAAAACAATAACCTAACTTCACAATCTAAGAAAGTACAAAAAGATAACCTGAACAACTATTTTGAAGGTAGTAACATGTAACATAACATCCATTGTTAAATTCCTATCATATTGTTGCAAAATCCTACATTATTATTGTTTTTGTTATTTTGCTTTTGTTTTTTGATTGTTTGCTTCTTGGTTTTTGTTTTCTCTTTAAAACAAAACAAAAAAAGAAAGAAAGAATGGAAAGAGCAGAGCCAGCAGAAAAGAGAGATAACAAAGAGCTAATCAAAATAAAGAACGGCAAAACAGCAGAGAAAACCAACAAAACTTAGACTAGGTTCTTGAAAGCAACAATGAAATGAACAAATTTTTTAGCTACACTGAAGAGGAAACAAGAAAGAAATCACTGAACTCAGAAATTAAAGTGGAGCTCTCCCCAGCAGACATAAAAGTCCCCACATTGTATGCTGGCAGATGGACACCCAAGATGGACAACAGACACACCAAGGCACGGGGCTTTAACCTGAAGTAGCAGATCTGAACTGGCCTTATCCACGGGAGACTGAGCCATGAATAACAAAGTCTTCCTGAAGAGATCAGCCAGCCTCAAGGAAGAATTCACGCCACTCACACTTCTCAACTTCTAAGAACATAGAGAAGAGACAGATCCACACCCACACACTGTAAGGGTAGCATAACCTCACAGAAAGCTAGACCAAAAAACTGCAAGGAAAACTACAGATAGACATCCTTTGAGAATAGATGCAAAAACGCCCAACAAGACAAGAGCAAAGCAGCATACTGCCCAGATGAAAGACGGACACACAGCATAAGCACTGGACAGGACTGGGTCCTGCTGTTTTCTCACTTCTAGTACCCACTGCACCCACCTTAAGGTCATCTTTGAAGGGGTCAGTGTTGGCAGTACTCATGCGCAGGGCCAGCTCCAACAGAGCCTCCAGGCGTGTAGGAGTAATGTCCTCCACTGGTTTCCGGAGTTCTTCCTCAGTGAGGTCCATGAAGTGAACAAAAAAGTCTCCCTGGTCCATCAGGAAGTAGCGCTTGATGGACCTGTGCCAGGGGGACATGCTAAGCCTGCTGCTGTGCCCACCAGTACTCCAGTACTGCAGCACAGCAATCACACAGAAATGAGTGGGTGTGAACAGCTTTCAGTGGGGCAAGGGTCCCCACGTCAGCCTGTGGCCGAGGAAGTGCTGCCAGCAAGGAGCTGAGGGGTCTGATGGCCCCAGAAAGATGGGGAGCCAGGACTTCTGGGACATGGTGACATGTGGCAGACACTATCCACCTCACAACCCTGCAATGGAGGTGACATAGGAGCGAGGTCCTGGGACTACAGTAAGGCAATTTGCCCACTTTTACAAAGACACAAGGAGTGCCAGAAGGAATATTCTAAATCATGGCCCATGCACCACAAATTTGAGTTGCTGTGCTAAAAGAAGTAAGCAGCAGCCACGGGGTGGAGGAAGGAACAACCTCAGGTGGGCCACCAGCTCCTTCTCCTCCATCAAGAAGTCCAGCAGCACCTTGCTGGCATAGTTGAATGCCTTCTCAATCTGCTCCACATATGCCCGCTCTTTAAGTGTGTAGATTATCTCTTTGGCCACAGGGCAGGTGACATCATGACCACACTCTCTGACCACATTGAGGTATTTTCCTAGAAAGAGAATGAGAAAGACAGACTTACAATGTCACTGCACAAACTGAGTTTCAGGCCTAGAATCCCACCACTCTGTTAAACACTGGACTGTGGGCTGGACATGCCATGCACATCAGCCCCTTGCTCACTTTACTCCATATGGAAAGATGCAACTGCCACTGAAGGGCCTGAGCCGGCAGCCACTGTGACTTGCAGTGGCTATGAACATCTAGAGTTTCCCAATTAAGAGCACAGATATAAATGCAAAACGGCCTTTTGCGAACCAGGAGGTAAATCATCTACTGGATTCTTTTGCACTGGCTTAATTCTCAGTACCCAATGTGCCAAGCCCTCGCATCATTTATCCAGTGGCTAAATCAGGCCCTAACTTGTGTGACAGTGACAGGCAATGTGGTAAGCCTGACAGGTGTAAGTCCCTGATGGTTTTTCCTATAATGCTAATGAAGTTTTAGAAACTAAAAACTAAAGACAAAGTCTTCTGTGAGACACTTTCTTGGTCAGAGGAAAGAACAAAGCCAACAGGCGCCAGGAATTACAGGCATCCAGTAGCCTGGCACAGGAGGCTGTTTTCCATAAGCGCACAGGGCAAGGAGAAGCTGGCCCTACACACAGGCGTTGCGTGTGTATTACCTGTGCTGAGGATCTTGCCCGCCATCTTCTGCAAGAAGGAGGGAATCTGCTGCTGCACCACAGTGTAGCGCTGGTCCCAGTACTTGTCATTGTAGTCCTCCTGTATCTTTTCCTTCCGCAGTTCGTGTTCTTCAACCATGAACTCACTGGAAGCCACATACAGCTTCTCAGATCACCACAGAATAAGCACAGCCCTAAGTGACACAGGAACTGGCCCATGCTTCTAGAAACATGTCGTTAAGGCAAATATGACTCACTGTCACTACTTCTGTACAGTGAGTAAAATAAATATATAAACCTTTTGGGGGAGAAGGCATTTAACCTAGCTCAGAGCTAGATAGGAAGCTAATTATCTTTATCTTCTGTTATGGGCCCTGGGTTTGTGAACCAAAAAAACCAGACACTTTCCTATGGAGTTTCAAAAATAACATACTCAGTGAATTGGAAGCTGTACTTCTCGCTATGCTCACAATACCAGATTCTGTTATTTGACTAATTAGTAAAGAGATATATGGGGATTGTAGTTCCATCCCTAGCATCAAAAATAATCAAAATAAAATACATACTTCTATGTCATACACTTTGAAAATATTTTAGCAAACATATTAAAATGTAACAGAATTCTTTGTGAGCTAGCCCATTTAAAGGCATTTCACTCAGGTGCCCTGAGAGCCTATCAAAAATATTCCTACACTGAGGACGTTAGGGCCTCCCTCCAGGGATCTTAACAGCCTTCACCCAGCAGAACAATGTCCTGAAAGACAGCCAAGTGATGGGAGACACCCTTCATAGTTTAGGGTGTATTTCTGCATCAGGGTATGTGTTCAGCACGTACCACCTCACTAGGCCAGTATTCTCTGGGAAACGGGGCACCCCTTGGAACCCTACCTATATGGGTCATGGATGATCCCCCTGTAGATCCACTTCTCCAGGACCTCAAAGTATGGGGCGCTCGCTGCCTTGGTAAGGTATAAGCACAGCTCCTGTGCCTGGCTGTCCCCTGTGTAGTTGAAGCTCCTGTCGTGGAGAAGGCTCAGCGTCGACCCGCCCACACACTCGCCTTTGTCCACTGAGGTGGCTGCAGGGAGGAAGGGCGGCTTACTGTCAAAGCAGATATCTGCACCAGCAGAGCCTCTTAGCTTACCCCAACCTCTTTAGTGGACACATTTCTATAAAGTTGTAGGTGCTAATTAAAGCTTATTAAGAAAAGCATCCAGGGCCTCCTTCTTGCAAATCATTAAAATAGGAAGTATCAGAACTCTGCTTCATGACACTGGTCCCAGAAAGTAAGACACAGTAGTCAGCCAAAGACTGGGTATCACTGTCCCTACACTGAGCCCTGCCACCTGCTGCACTCCATCAGCTAGGCACATACCAAGAGAGGCGAGGATGTCCACAGTGCGCATGGCCGGCTGGATGTAGAACCAGAGCTTCTGTAGTGACAGGAGGCCCTGCCTGTGCAGCTGCTCCAGCTGGGTGACCAGGATCAGGTACTCCTTTACTAAGGTTCTCATGGCAGCTGCCAAGGCATGATTCACCTGCCCATACTCGAAAGAAGATTTTTCTTCAATAAACCTACAGAAAATACATTAGACATCCTTGAAATGGGAAACCTACATTTTTAGATAAAAGTTCAAATATTCCCAATCCAATTGTCAGCCTGGAAGCAAACGACTCATTCTAGCCCTCATCCCCAGAGGACCCTACACTACTAAGAACAATGAATCTGAACAGTGATCAGTAACACAAAAGCCCTTCATAATGTATCAGGCTTGAGGCAGAGTCACAAGCCAAGAAGAGCTTGCCTCACAAGGAGCTGCAACTTGACCTCCCTCCACAGTGCAAGCTCTGGGACTGGACATGAGGCTTGTCAAGAACAGGCCCACCTGGTTACGGTGGAATAACTGGCAGCCACAGGGAGGATTCTGTTCACCAGCTCTCGGATGGATAAATCCAGGTTGGGATCCACAAGGAAGGTGCGGTTCTGCCTCCCAGTCAGAGGTTGAGCAGTGATGTATCTGCCGTCCACACCAACTAGCACATAAAGCAGATCTTCCACCACGGCTGACTCCTGGGAGGCCAACGGCAACGCTCCTGCAGGACAGACACTACTTCATTCCTGAGCTTCCACAGCCTCTGAGCACTGCCAACTCACTGAACTGACCACAATTGCACTCGCATTCATTTCTTTTTAAGTAGCCCCTTATATATTTATGGATAGAGAAGAGAACTGCTGCCCTTAGCCTCAATGGGTCCCACGATAGAATCACTGGCAGACACCAAACCCTATAGTGGCAGCACAAGCACCTGGATAGCAATGAGGTCTTCTTTAGGCTGTTCTCTACCCCCAGCAATACTAGGGACTGAACCCTTAAACATGCTAGGCAAGCATTCTACCACTGAGTTACAGCCCAGCCCTTTTAAAATTTATGAGACAGTCTTGCTCAGTGGCCCAGGCTGCGGGTTGATTCCCAGAATAGCTGCAATTACAGATGTATGCCACCATGCCCAGACTGCCAGGTCCTTCTTTTTTTTTTAACTAAGCTTACTAGCACATTTTAGGTATATATAATCATCACACTTATCATAGGAATTTGTACCATTACATGATATAACTTGTTTCTTTTTCCCCCCCATTTCCTTACCCTCCCTTATTTATGGCCCTCTTCATTTACAAATCTTTGTTTCCATTTTTCCTTCTTTTCTGATTTTTTTTTCTTTTCCTTCCTTTCCCCCTCCCTAGTTCCCCTTACCATTTGAACATTTTCTTATTTTATAGTATCCACCAAATATTTTGGTCCTTACTTATACTTTCAGTTTCTCACACCCCAAATGCAATGTGGTATTTACACGTGTGTCTGATTTACTTCACTGAAGAGTGTGATCTCAAGGTACATCCATTTAGCTAGAAACATCTTAAGCTTATCTCTCTGTATGCCACCACCTTCTTGAGGTAACCAAAAAATGCACTCAGACATTTGACAAGATGTAGCCAGGAGGTCAAAGCACTTTGAACAAGACTAGTATGCAACAGTTATAATCACAACTTGACCATTGGATTATTCTCAAACTAAAAAAATCTTTAAAATTTTTTTTTTTTAGGATAGGGTCTTGCTATATGGTTCAGGTTGGTTTTGAATTCACTGTGTAGCCAGGTTGGCCTTGAACTTATGGTGACCTTCCTGCCTCAGCCTCCCGGGTACTGGGATTGTAGGTGTGTGCCACCATGCCCAGTCAAATATTTACTTTAAAAATACATCACTTCAGCTGGGCGTGATGGTACATACCCAGAATCTCAGCCTCCTGAGAGGCTGAGGCAGAAGAATCACAAGATTGAACCCAGCACTGGCAATTTAGTGACAGCCTGTCTTGAAAAAACAAAAGGTTGGGGCCAGGGGTTTAGCTTGGCAGCATAAGCACCTGCCTGGCAAGCTGTAGTTCGTGAGTTCAATCCCCGGTACCAAAAACAACAACAACAAAAAACCGAAAGGTTGAAGATGCAGTTCAGCGTGAATGCTCCAGGTCAGTAACAGCAAACCCTTTAGAGACCAAGTGTCCAAACTGCAACCCCAAACCCGCTCATTTACTGCAAAGTGCCAACACTGCAACTGAACCTGAATACTAAGGTTTTAGTTTAGAAAAAACAACTGTTATCTGATGCTTAGCTGGTAGGGCAACTTGGGTCATGTGCTCAGAAAGGGCTCAGAACAACCACTGTGGTACACATGCCCTAGGTTCACCACCACTGCCCTAGGTTCAGTCTCCAGCAGAGAATAGAAGACATCAAACTTTAAGAAATGATTCAGTTTTACCACACAGAATGAGCTGCAGGATGCAGTGTGACCAACAATTCAATGGATCCTTGAAGACAGTCAAAAGTCACCTACCAAGGTCCCTCCTGTCTCAGTGCAGTATCCCCATAGGCCAGGTGAAGAGTCCGTGTCAAAAGCTCTAAAAGTGCTGTAAGACACTTCACATTTTACGAAGTCCCCGAGAAAGAATCGTCCATGATGTTTAATGCTGCTAAAAGGACGCAAAATCCAATGGAAAGGTCTCAAGGGACACACACCCATCCAGAGCACCAGCTGCAGTCAGGCTGTAGGAAGCACAGGCCCAATGGTCAGGTTCTGTCAGGTGGACACAGAGGCAGGACCAAGGAAGATGCCTGCAGATGTCTGAGCATGGGCAGGAAAGTAGATTCGGGAGGAAGTCAGAGGACAAGAGGGAGAATGCTTGTGCCGGGGGAGAGGCCAGTACAGGACAAGGTAGCTACTGATAAAGTGAGCCAGAGAGACGTAACAGGAATAGGAGTGACTGGCTGCTTTCTAACCCACGTTCCAAGCAGTTCCCAAGGGTCAGCCAGTGTACTTCTCATTCTACCTCCAGCAGTGTTTTCCAGAAAGTGCTGGCCAACAGTCTTATAGCCTCCTGCAATGTGTGATTAGACCATGAGCTAAGGCTTGGGGTGAATTTGTTCGTATGAGCCCTGGGGAGAGGATGGGCCAGATGTGATGCCACCCCTGGAATAGGCCTCATGCAGCTGCAGAATGCTGAGAGCACCAAGAGCTCGTCTCTAAGGTTTCTAGGCCACTCAGCACAACACCCACAGCACAACGCCACAGCACCCACGCCAACTCTCTTAGTACAAACTGCTCTGGTTCCGTCCATGTTCAGGGAGCTTTGTCAAAAGAAGTGTGACAGGCCACAACCCTGCTTAGCCTACTGCCCAGATGTCCTGGAGCTGGAATGATCCCTCTCTGCCTGCCCTAATCTGCAGCCATGTGATGCAGACTCCTTTGAATTAAGGCTGAGCAGACTCATCTCCTGCGAATTCTAACAGTTTAGGTTACTGCTGAAAACACACACTGTTTCCTCTACTTTCTCATTAACTTACAACAGGATCATGTCTGTTTAGGGATAAAAGAAAAATATTGTACTTCACATAATAGTTCTGCAGGATTTTTTAAGGACAAAGGCAGACATCTCTGTACCAACACTCACGTGTGCTGCGGTAAAGTACACCAATGCCATACCTCTTGAATTTTGGCTGCAAAAAGGAAGCATGCTGCAGAGATGCTGTGCCCTAAATTTGTGAAATCTCACTTTTCAATCTAAAATAGGACTTAGGACTTGTATATAGAATGCCAAGGTACACATTCCCATCCAAAATAGCCTGTCTAGAAAATGCTTCTCATGAGACATGTGACTTTAGGGTCACTGACAGCATAGTTTCAGCACTAGCACTGTCACAGCAGGGTCTATGTAATCACAAATTACTACTCAAAAGAAAGTACCTCCTATCCCCTACCACCATCAGACTACCAGATGCACAGCTTTAGAGAGACAGCTTCAGTCTGTTCTGCTCTGGCAAAAGAGACAGGAGAGAGGTAGTCAAAGACCCCAGCAAGTCACTATTTATTGGTAAATAGGGATGGCACATTGGGAATCCCGCTGGCCTTAAGCATTGCTATATGCAAGAGAACAAGCCTGGGTGAGGAGCCAGTGACACCCACCACCGTGCTGCTGGGCTCCAGCATGTCACCCATGGCCTTCTTCCCTGGTGAGGCATCACCAAATGAGCAAACATGGTATGAACTTCCTGGGTGTTTGAAATAAAAGTGTCATTCCCGCAGGAGCGGCTGCCTGGGGAACGGGAAGCCAAACTGTACCTTCCTATGACCCAGCTGGTGCGCTGGCTGGGAGACAAGCAGAACCACCCCTCCCATCCTTAAGCAATGTGCTGATTTGGAGGAAGTCAGCCTGAGATGACAGCAACTGAAGTAAAAAACAAAACAAAACAAAACAAAACTTAATGCTTGTCTTGTTTGATTGACTTTGCAGGCCTAAAGCATCTATATGGAAGATAACAATCTGCATTACAGCAACTGCAGGGGTTTCCTTCTGTCTTGTTTTTGAAATACAATGTTTTATTCCATTTTACTGTTTTGTTTTACCCTATGTCTGGTAACCTGAGCAACTATTTTGAAGGTTAACAATATGTAATATAACAAGCATAGTTAAATTCCTATTGTCTTGTTTTGAAAACCTTTATCTATTGTTGTTCTCTGTTATTGTCATTTTGCTTTTGTTGTTTTTATGTTTGCTTCTTGATTTTTGTTTTTTCTCTAAAATAAAATAAAAATGTCACATACCTATAGGTAAAGTTGTGTCTGTGCTTAAACCTGAACCAACCAGGAAATCTCCAATTAGTGTAGGTCTCTCATACACCCAAGCTGGGAACACAGGGAGATGCTGGCCTGAATTTTTTTTGTTTTGCTTGTCTCGAAGCATCTTTCTTGTAAGTTCTAGAGACTAGTGAGAACATTTTAAAAGACAAAAATAGACACTTTAGTGCACATAAAACCACAAACTTCATTGAACCTAACTTTAGCATAAAAAAAGTTAATCACCTAAGATGATTCAATTGAGACAAAGACACAGTGCTAACTGCCCATCATAAAGCAAAGGGCTGAGGAACAATCTCTGTATTCAGCGTGTCAGTCCATATGAACTTACAGGTTAGTCAGGAACACCAGCCACAGGGTTACCAGTTTCACCATACAGTCAGTGTTTCAGACCAGGACCACAGCAAGAACCTGAACTGCTTTTTCCTGGCAGTGACTAAATCTAATAACACTTGTTGCAGGAAGACAACATTGGCAACTGACATTGCCTTCTCATCTTGCTGGAAAAGGCCCCAGGGCAGGCCCAAGCTGGAATGTGTGTAGAGCACTGCTCTCCAGGAGACCAACAGCCAAGCCTGACTGGGTTGGGCTCAGCTGCCCAGCTTTTGGAAGTACTAACTTGGGCTGCCACTCTGAGGGGCAGGCAGACTGGACGTACACAGACCAGGGTTCCTTACATGTTACTTGGGATGGTGGTATGAAGGCTACCTGAGTCATGGACAGCTCAGCAGGTTACTTGCACACATGACATACCTGACAAGCTTGGCTCTGTCTCTGTGAGCACTGCTGTGCTTAGCATGCACATGTAAGGAAAGGACATGTCACAGGGATATGACTGTGAAGAGGGATCTGAGGGTCCTAACAGCACAGGAAAATACCTGAGACTCATATCAAAGAGATCAGGGTAGGACACAAGCCAAGAACCAGTACCTGAGACTCATATCAAAGAGATCAGGCTAGAACACAAGCCAAGAACTAGCACCAAGTACAGCAGGAGAAAATTAGCCAGAAAATATATACTAATAATCTGAAAATATTATCATATCAAAAACTGTCACAGCTGGGCACGGTGGTGCACACCTGCAATCCCAGCACTTGGGATGCTGAGGCAAGACGACTGTCACAAGTTTGAGGTCAGCCTGGAGTAGAGAGTGAATAAATGGCAAGACTTTGTTTCAACAATAAATTAAAAATAAACAAATATAAACACAACAAAAAAAGAACTGTCACAGATTCTTGAAGCTGTGACTTGTGTTGTCACAAGATCCTGTAACCATCTGCCACAGATGGATCTTACCAGAACCCCACTGGAAATAGTTATTTTTGTGGTGAAGAAATCCTAAAGAAATGGCATGACCCGGCCTCAGCTCTCTAAGATCAGATTCGTTTCTATTTTTGCTTTTTTGGTATTGGGGACTGAACTCCTTGGCTTCACATTGAACTGTATTATCCATCCCTTTTTTTATTTTGAGAGAGGGTCACCTAGGCTTGGGATGGTGGTATGAAGGCTACCTGAGTCATGGACAGCTCAGCAGGTTACTTGCACACATGACAAGACATCAATATTGCACTTGCAGTATTTTTCCTCGGCCTCCCAAAGGGCTGGGAGTATAGACATACACCACCATGCCTGGCTCAGATTCATTTTTAGTAAGTAACAGACATGTCTCCAGCACTGCCTCTGTGAACTCTGGTGAACACTGTTACCTGCTGCAGTGTGGAGCCTGTGGTCACACTACCGAGTTGCTTCCTCAGCTCCTCGAGCTCCTGCATCGACATCTTGGAGGCTGTGGTAGGAACACTAAAGGTGGTGGTGCTGCTGGCCATAGCAGTGGCTGCGAGTTCAGCTCTTTCTTTTGCATTCTGTTGCAAATACTGCAGAGTCTGAAAACACACAAAACTATATTCACACTGGGTTAGTATGTGCACCTGGGTTAGCAAAGACAAGTCTTCTCTCTTCTTTCCTAAATGAAACACCAATCTCTGGGTCACTCTGTCTTCATAGATCAGCTTTCCCTTACACTCTACTTATGGATCCTGGGCTACAAAAACCATCTCCCCTTATTTGTCCTAGTGTTGGGGGCTCCTTGTGCTCCTCTGTCACGGAAAGAGAGGAGGGACTTAGCATATCACTTGCTGTTTCATCACAATGATGTGAGAAATGGGAAACAGCCAGGAGTGAGGCATGATTTTTGCAAAGCTAAAATGCTCCACCCCCAGAGTCACTACTACTAACATTTCTCACATTTAAGCCCATCCTGGATATTATTCATTCTGATTCACAAACTGGAAAAAAAAATCCTTAATGTGTTACTGGCATGAGGCAAGGAGGGGATGATGAGTACAGGGAGCAGGGCAGGCTGAAGGAACGAGACTGGAAGGCACAATCTACACTACATACACTCCACTCAGGCTGTATGGGGAATAAGCACTGTGCTCTACTCTTCCAAGTCATTACCAAGTGTTCCCAGCATGCTCACAGCAGGTGCAACAACAAGGACAACACAGGGCAGTTACCTCCTTGTCTTCTGTGAGCTTTGACAACAGGTACACCAGTGGATCGAGGTTCCTTGTATTTTTAGATTTCAGTTCATCATATTTCTTTAGAAAATCCTCAGGAGTACGAGAAAATTCTGCAATTTTAACCTTGAAAGCAAAAATGTCAGTGTTTTAATAACAAGTTAATTAAGCACTAGAAAAAAACCTTTAAGAAAAACACTAAAACCAAAATGGAGTTAAATTAGGTAACTTAGTTAAATTGGGCAACTTAGTGAAACCCTGTGCCAGTAAGGGAGTAGCGCAGGTTGCACCTCAATGTGAAGCCCGTAGGTTCAATGCTCAGTACCATGAAAGAAAAAGTATATACTCCTAAATTCTACTCCATTCAGTTTTTCTGTCTTGGTATCATCATTATGCTGTTTAACTAAATGAAGCTTCATAATGTGTTTTAGAAATAAATTTCAAATTCAGATCCACTTCTACTGAAGATTTATAATTCTGAACTATGTATTATTCGAATAAAAAAAACTTCAAAAGATTTCAATATGGTTAATACCAGCGACTTCCTTTCTTAGCCCCAGAAACACATCTTAGGAAACACAAAGAAGGAATGTGTAACCCAGGGTTCAAAGCAGCTCTGCATAGGTCTCCGCTGACTTGTCTGTCTAATGGAGTCAGTGACAGTGGCTGCTACCAGGAGTTAGGATAATCACAGAATAGAGTGTATTCTTGGCCCATGGGAAGAATCTATGTGTTACTGATCTTAGTTATTGACAATACTGTAGCTGCCAGGCTCCCCTCACCGGTGCTACACCATCAACCCAACGCAATCCTGCAGCAGGGACAGGTTCCTACCCTGTGCCTTCCACCAAAGACAGTTACCCACCTTGGCACTGTGGGCAGAGACAGTTGTTGTGACATATGGGGTCCGGTTCTTCTGCAGCAGGTCAATGTAGATTTCAGCTCCATCCCCTCCATGGATTCGCAGCAGGCTGAGCAGCTCATTGACATCATGGTGAATCCGAAATTCACTCATGGTTCTAGCCCTGAGACGTCAATATGATGAGACATTCTTGTAAAAGTTCTCTAGACAGTCATAAACTTAAAATCTTACACAAAAATTTAAAACAATCAAATCTGTTCAATCAATCAAATCAAATCAATTTTTGGCCTTTAATAAAGCAAATCACTACCAAACTCAATCTAGCCCCCACCTTCCTGTAGCTGTCTGCTCCTTTACCACCTCTCCTTCAGGGACACACTGTTGTATGCCAGCCATCCTCAGTACATTCACCCATGACACACACGTCTTTTCGGCAACTCAGCGTGCTGGTTTCTATTAACAGTCATTCTTAGCCCACTCTGCAGCTTAGGGAGCGCTCCAGATGGGCTGTATAAAGGTCCCTACAGGCCCTCCACATGCCCTCCCCTCCTTTGCTGGGTGACCCCATCCACAGGTGGTCCTAGGCCAAGAGGAAGCTGTTCTGCCACTACAGTGGAATGGGGTGCAGAGCTTTTTGGCTCCAGCTGGACAGATGAATTGCTCTGCTACTAGAAGGCCAAGATCTACAGAGGAGCCTACATGAGGTTACTGCCCCTATGCACACACAGCTATTAAGCTCCCATTCGAGGCCATGCTCAGTTCTCAGTCCCTGAAATATTCAGCAGCAGTTCCATCCACATCACTACTTTTGCATCTTTTCTATATGCAGGAACCAATTATATCTGTGAGTTTCCTGACATGGTACTGTAACAAATTCTCCAAAGCTTCATGACATATTAGAGGTCAAGAATCACTGTGCTAACCCATCTAGTATTAACTAAAGCCATGAGTTAAACAGTGTTAAGGGCAGAAGACTCAGTACACACACCTGGAGGTTTTGAATACCCTAGGGAGTATCAAGTTGGCCTTCTACCTTAAGCACTACATAGGAAACATTTTTTTTTTTTTTTTTTTTTTTGGCGTATAAACCTTCACACTGGTCAAGGTAAGTGCTTTCAGGAATGAAAGCAGGATAAGCCTGAGCTGGTGATCAAGTTTCCTAGCACAGACCAATTAAAGAGGCACTCATCACAGCAAGTAAAAAATACAAGACCAGCCTGAAATGGGCTGTGGAGTCCCAGGCAAACTGATCCGGAGAGTCACCTGTGGGCTGTGGTCTCTGGGCGAGGAGCTTGTCTTCTGTAAGCTTCCACTTACAGAAGGGTAATACTGTGGCCTTTTCTACTGTCTCCTGTAGTCGCCCACCTGGAGCTAGTGGGCTTTGGGAAGCTCCGGTGTGTGGGACCCGGGTACAGGGTAATACTGTACATCTATGCAGAGCTGTTGAGATTTAAGTAAAACCATTCTTTTCTTTGTTTTCTTTTGTTTTTTAGATAGAGTTTTGTAGTTCACGCAGGTCTTGAATTTGCTATGTAGCCCAGGCTGGCCTTGAACTAGCAGTGATCCTCTTGCCTTAGCTCCTGAGTGCTGGGATTATAGGTAGACACCTATAATCCACGCTTGGCTAAAACTTCTTACAAAGTACTGAAGGAATCACACAGTAAACTCCTGTGCTGTCAGGAGGAAAGCCAGAACAAGCACTGTTGCTATTACTACAAAAGGCCAACCACCTGGAAAGAGTCATAAGAAAATTTCTTAAAAGTTTTAAGAAAGTTGAATCAATGACTCAAACTGATATTTTCTCATGAATAATGCGCTCTTAAATAAGGCACTGAAAACTATTTACAAAGCAGAAAAACATCTGAAAGATCTCAGCTTTATTCATATTCTAAAAGACATTCAGAGGTCTGCAGATTGCTTGGTAATTCGATCTATTTTGGTCATGTTAGATGGCTAGGAGAGCTTTTGCCAACAACACAAAGCACCTTATATCAGATACAAGAGTACACAGCTGCTCCTGAGGAAAGATCATCTAAATGGACACTTATTTTACAAAATACCAGTGTCCTCAATGAAGACTACAGTTGTGAACAAGTTTGATCAACTGCTACAGCTTTCTGTAATCTTTTTGAAGCTCCTGAATTCCTAACTCTATCAGTCACCGCAGATGTCCATGACCCAACAGAATTTATCTGTAGTTTACACACCACCACGAACGAATTAGCTGCACATCCCCGGTGAACAGGGATTAAAACAAAGAAGGAAGCGCTGAAGGCCTTTTGGAGGCTCCAGCTAATTGCACAAACTGGCCTGAAAAACATTACTTTATATCTTGTGAAATGTCACGAATTCAAGGGCTATACAGAGACAGAAGATCAATAAAGATGTACTGAAGCTCTTACTAGACCTAAAAATAACTGACTGGGGACAAACTCGCAAGCCTTCATTTCCAAGGATGAAACGACAAAAGTTTTAATTTATCCTTTCAAAAAACAACGATCCCTCTTCCTTCGGTTTGCACACTTGTACACGCAAGCCCTGCTTAATGAAAAAAATATTTTGGGGGAAAGAGTGACCATCAAGCCCCTGTAGCCTCCAGGTGCTCACACTCCGCAGCAGATCTACAGCGCTAGGCCTTTCCGGTGTCCTCAGTCGTCGTTTTAAAAAGGTAAAGGTTTCCTCGGACTTTTTCGTTCTATTCTGCGCGGCCAGCGGGCTCCGGAGTAGCCGAAACCACAGACCCCATCACAAGCTGGCCTGGGGCTCTGGGCTGTAAGCAGAGAAGGGTCCCACACACCGGAGCTTCCCAAAGCCCACTAGCTCCAGGTGGGCGACTACAGGAGACAGTAGAAAACGCCACAGGCGGCCGAATCCAGGGCTGATTTCAGGCGCGAGCGACTGCAGAAAGGCTAGAGCAGAGGGCGGGAAAGACGCGCGCGGAGGGACCAGACTGCTTCATCGCCACTGCTGCAACCCTAACTCCCGCGCCCCGCCCCCCTCGATCTCCACCCGGATTCCTCCTCCCCGAACCCTCCCATTCTCTGCTCCCGCCGCTCCGCTCAGGACCCTGCAACGGGTTACAGGGACTAGATTCCCGCCCCAGGGCCCCACAGAGACTCACCGCAGTCCGCCGCGCCCCGTCCTAGCCGCGACGAGGAAGTGCGAGACGTCACGTCCGGCCCCGCCCCCCGAACGGCGGCTGACGGGCTGCGGCCCCGGTGCCCAGGGCGATGCTTCTGCCTGCAGCACTTCGGGCCCGCCTGGCTGGGCCGCCTGGCGCTGCCGAGCCGCTGCCTGTGGAGCGGAACCCCGCGGCTCAAGCGGCGCCCTTCGGCTTCGTGCCGCGCCCAGTGCGTTTCCCGAGGGAGCACGAGTTCTTCGAGGTGCGTACGTGAAGGCGGACGGAGGCCGAAGGCTGAGCGGCACCGGGGTGTCTGAGGTGGGGGCGGGGCCTCGGCTTGGCGCGCTGAGCGGGGGAGGGGCGGGGGGCGGGGGGCGGGGCGGAGCGGAGGCTGGGAGTCCTGGGTCCCGGCTTGGAGTCTCACCCTGTGGGAGCGAGCTTCTAGGCCCCAGCGCTGCCCACGACGCTTGTCTCCTATAGGAAGGGGACGTGCAGCGGCACCTGTACCTGCGGGATGTGCTTACCCAGGTGGCCGAGGCGCCAGAGAAGTCCAGGTAAGCAGTTCAACCCGCACCACACCCTACCCCCACCCCCGCACACACCCCCACCTCTTCACCCCCCACCCGGCGCAGCAGCTTCCTGCAGAGACCCCCTCGTAGGCAAACCTCCTGTTTTAGGCACTTGATTTTGCCCTGCCTGCTGCCAACAATAAAATACAGTCGATTTGGCAGGTTTCTCTATGAATCCTGTTTGCAGAAGTTTAAGTCTTAAAAACGTAGGGGTTAGGACTGTAAAGAAATTCTCAGGGTGTCTGGCCGGAAGTCCTGTGCTAATTGGCTCCTTTCTCAGGGTGCCCGAGTTCACCTGTCAGGTGGCTGGCTGTTGCCAGGTGTTTGCTGCGCTAGAGGACTATCAGCACCACTATCATATGATGCACAGGAATGCCTGCTCCCTTTGTAGCCGAGCTTTCCCTTCTGAGCACTTGCTGGACGCCCACATTCTGGAGTGGCATGATTCACTTTTCCAGATCCTGGCAGAAAGACAAGACATGGTATGTGGTGGCAGCAGTCTGGGGACATGCATGGTTGGGGGTAGGCCCAGGGTGGTGATGCACTGTCCTTTTCAGTACCAGTGTCTGGTTGAAGGCTGCACTGAGAAATTCAAGACCACCCAGGACCGGAAGGATCACATGGTGAGGCTCCATCTCTACCCTGCAGATTTCCGATTTGATAAGCCCAAGACCAACAGAGGGTAGGTGAGGGACTGCTGTTACTTCCTATCTTAGCGGCATCAGGATAAGTTTAAATGCTGGATCCTGTAGTGAAGCCTAATGTAATATTTATCTACAGGTAACTGAAATCCTGATGATAGGGGTATCCAAAGGAATTACAGAAATAGGGGTCTCTTCCCATAGAAAGGAGGCAAGAGGATAGTTTCTGTCTGGGGAGTAGAGATGAAGGGTGTGGGAATGACAGGTACCTGCTTTCTCTGTTCATCCTTGGGCTGTAGCTCCTTCACTTACATGGGCATATACACATACACACACCTCCCCACAGCTCATCACAGAGATTGAAGGGGCTGCCTTCTGAAGCTGGGCACTGGGGCCTTTGAGATTCTTCCTAGGCTGTGAAGCCATCCACTCCATGAGGTCCTGTGGCTTTCCATTTTTCCCCTGCACCTAGGTTTAGAAACTTGACAAATAGCCATCTTAACCACATGAGGGTGCACGTGAAGAAACCTTAAGGAATAATTTTTATAGTGTTTTATTTCTTTCTTTTTTTTTTTTTGTCTTTTTTTCATTTTTATCGGTTCCGGGGATCGAACTCACGACCGACTGCTTGCAAGGCAGGTGCTTTATGCTGCTGAGCTAAATCGCCAGCCCCAGTGTTTTATTTTTTTACTGCTTCTTTTTCTTTTATTAAACATTGTTTTTTAGGAGAACCTTCATAGCCCTGTAAAAACTGCATTGATTGGAGTTGTTTCAGACTTTTATTTTCCCAAGTAGCATTTTGCTGTTTAAGTAAAATAATTAGAGAACTCACCACAATGTAGAAAGCTGCAAAAGAACCTACGTGTGACATAATTTTCTCTCTAAAGGGTTATTCTGGAGAGAAAAACCCTACAATGCTAATCAACAAAACCTCTATAGTCCCTGGTTAATATTAGAAAATATATCCATCATGTAAGACATTTAGCATTATTGGTTGGCATTTCCACGTGGTACCATAAAATGCTGTTTTCAGAAAACAAAGTGTAATTGTTATAATTAAGTTTATAACATTTAAGGCTTTTTTTACTGGTGGCCTGAAAATAGCACTATAAAACTAGACTATGCCAAATAATAACATATTTTAATAAGAAAAATGTTTTCCTTAAAAATTCATTTCTGGGGGAACCCAGGGCTACGGGAGCTTTGTGGAGCTACGCTCACCACTCTGTCCTCTGCAGCCCAGCCATGCCAGGGGCCGTTGCAGATGTGTCCAGCAGAACCCTGGCAGATGATGGAGATGCCATGGAAATCAGCTCTGAAACTGTGGCTCTGCCCCCAGCACCAGGGGGTGAGAGACGGACTTATAGCCACAGGTTAGTGTGGACCTCTTACTAAAACAATGTGTGTTCTGACCTGGCCCACAGTCTTTTTGAAGGAAAGTAAAACTGAGTGGGAACATTAGTGTCTATGGAATTGAAAGCCTGCAGGTTCCAGTTTTCTTGGCATTCTGTATTGTGGAACCTGAAACCCAGGAATGGAAGCACCACCTCAGTGGCCATCAGTGTAGGCTGGGAAGAACCTTTGCTGGCACTTGCCTCAGTCACAGCTTGACAGATTGTCTAATGAGAAAAATAGAAAGCAAACCAAAGTGTGAGGGAAAAGTTGAACAATGAGAGAAAATAACAGAAGAATATTAACTGGCAGGAAAATGTGCATACATGACCCTCAGCAGCCTTCTCATGGCTGCCCAGACTGTGACTTTGTGTAACCTTTGATGCTAGGGAATAAGGTTTTAATGGACAGTGGGTGCCAGGAGGTTTGTAGCTTGGCAGGAGCAGGCTTTCTTGGCTGAGTTCTCCCAAGAGAGTGCACACTGATACCTGGGGAGAATCTCCTATAGGAAGGAAGCAGATCTGAGGCAGTGGGTCCAGGAGACCCAACTCTTTTCCCTGAATATTTTGCAGAGCAAAAGAGAAAGGAAACATTCCAGAATAAGATGTAAATATATTAAAGACTGCTATTGGGTTGGTTATTGGCAAAGGAAATGTGTTTTTTTGAAATACCATTTAATATGAATCTTTTTTCCATTCCAGAATACCTTCTACTATCTGTTTTGGACAGGGTGCATTGAGAGGATTTAAAAGCACCAAGAAAAGAAATAAACACCTCTGACAGGGAGAAAGAACCAAGCATCTGAGCAGACCAGGGCAAAAGACAATGGTCTCCTGCAACAGACAGTATCTGTCAAGCCTTTCTCTAACTTTGCGTGCTACTCCCTGGACGGAGCCTTTGTTGGCCCTCTGTGTCTCTGTCCCTCCACAGGCACCTCAGCAGTTGTTACCAGAGGCAGTAAGAGATCTATAGAAATGACTGGGAATCACTGCAAGGAGTAAAATGGGGAAATTATCTACTTCCCTCTGCAGGGGCTACCTAAGAATGTCCTTTTTAAAAACATAAAATAATATTTTTTACTGATGATCTACAGTCTCGTTTGTGTATTGTTGAACTTGATGGGGAAATGAGCAATTAGCAGGAGTATTTTGTTCTTAGTATTTCTCACAGAAATTATAGTCTCAGAGCCTAGTAGAGGCAATGAGTGGGTCAAATTTGATTGGTTAGTGTTCGACCTTTGTGGCTTAAAGAGAGACATCCAGATCATTCTGTACCACACCAACCAGTGAACTCTGCTGGAACCTGGTGCCAGGAATGGGTGTAGAAGGAGGTCTCCAGAGAGGTTACTGGATAGATGCTGCAGGGAGGACAGTGATGGCAGGCAGAGGCCTGTCCAGCAGGTGTGTGGGTGTCAGAAAAGCATGTGATTGGGGCGATTGGGTAATAGGCAAAAGCAAGTCAGGGAATTGGGCAGGCATGTGGAACATAGAGATACATAGCAAGAAGTGTGTTCTGGAGAAAGCAGCTTAAGTGTAATAAAGTCAAGGCCCTGCAGCAGGCTTGGTAACATGGCTGGACCCTTCTGTGCTGAGATGCTGGCCAACCAACTCCTGGCCTCATGTCACTGCCTATTTTGGGGCTGTGAATCTGATGGTCCCCTTTCAGTGTGGCTGAATCTAGAGGATTCCTTACTTAGACTGGGAGAAAACACCCACTGGTGCTTTATGTAATGCAAAACTCAAGCACAAAGTACTCAAAGAAAGATGGGATTTAGTATAGCAAAGTGCCTGCCTGGCAAGTGCAAGGCCCCAAGTTCGATCCTGGTATAGGGGTGAGGGGGAAACCACTCAAGGAAAAATCCTGAAACTTCAAATACAGGTCCTTGTATGTGGACAGAGGGACCTCCAAGGGTATACTGTTCTGGGTTGGAAAATGAGCATCTTAGGTAGATATGGCCTCTTGAGAAACCACAAATGCATAGAAAAATGCAAACAAGAAATACCATTCTGTCTGCATCTTTCTTTAGGAGGCTTCATGAGAGTGGAGCTGTCCATTTCTCTTGACTCCTGCTTATCTTCATACAACCAAAAGAGTGCAGCTCTGACACTGGCTCTCAGCATGACTGTATTAGCTCTTTTCATAGCAGCATGTTTTGCCAGACTTTTCTTGCTCCAGTATTGGTACCCACTGCACTGTGTTGTAGTCTTTGGGAATTATTCCACTCTGGGATCTGTATTAGCTTTTCATTGCTGAGACACAAATACCCAAAGGAGAAAAGGATTATTTTGGCTTATGGTTTCAGTGGGTTCAGGACATGCTGTGCAGGCTCCAGAGCAGAAATAAAAGGTGAAAGGACATGAAAGAGGCTGCTGCTCTCCCATAGCAGCCAGAAAACAGAGGAGCTGGGGACGAGAATATGTCTTTCCATGACACACCACCACTGACACACCTAAAACCAAGCCCAGCTCCGGATAGCACCTTCAGCTATAAACTCATTAATGGGTTAATCCTTTGATGAGTAGAGACCCCTGTCCCTCATGATTCAGTCACCTTCCAAAAACCCCACTTTTGGACTGATGAGACTTTTGAAGGAGACTGATGGATGGATTGATTGTTTTTGAGACAGAGTTTTGCTATGTAATTCAGGTTGACCTTCAAAACAAGCTTGTTTCCAGGCATAGAGCTCAAGTTATTTGTACCAGAAATACCAAGGATATTACCCCAGCTGCTGGTGAAGATGTGTGAACAAGTCCAACAAGCTATACATTTGGGGAAAAAAAAACTTTTATTATTCATTAAACAGTAAAATGCAGGATGTGGGTTTAGGCAGTAAACATTTAGGTGCAAATCACATGAGGGCCAGCCTGTGACTACAAATGCCCAAAGAGGATTTTTCCCTTCATCACCATCCAGTTTTTCTTATCATCAAGGCAAATACCGCAACAAGAATTTTGTCCACTAAGGCATTTAAGATAAAAAAAAAAATTTTTTTCATAAATGTTCTTTCTGGTCACTTTTAGACAACTCTTAGCAAAATCAACATCTGAATGATAGAAATATACCCCCCACATGTGCAACAAACACTTCAGTCACAGCAAGAGAAACGGAAATAAATATGACACCGTTTCTTACACCTTCATGTGACAGAAAGTGTTTCTGTGCCAAAGCTGTGGGAGCTGGGTCCTCATACCTTGTCAGTGGAGTGGCAGTGGAATAGCAGTGGTGATCTCCTAGGGAGAATAATTTAGCAACATTACTTCTGCATGGCTCTTTCATCCAGCTGTCCTAGGGACCTCTGGACTACACCTTGGCAAAAAACTCAAATCTGCTGTCAGGCAATTTATTGCCTGATATACGATTTTGAATAGCTTAAATACTGAAAATAATTCAAGTGTCCAAAGTCCTAATTAACCTGATTAATGTTAAAAACTAAAAGTTGGGCATGAAAAGAAGTCATAGGTTTAAGATATACCAAGTTAATAAAACCCCTATGGCCCTAAATCTGGATAAGGAGGATGGCTATGAATTCGTATGATACGTTGCATATTTATTAAGTCAGTGGCTTTGTTGAAAAATCTGGTTATTTTTCAGAAATCAATGTTATTCAGTAATGTTAGGGTTAGTATGAGGAGGTAATAACTTAGAGTTCCACTAGCCAAAGGTTGGACAGCCTGAGCATTAGTAAGAAAATAATTACAATTTCTCAAAACACTTCAAATTATTTAAATCTATGTGTTTACAATGATTCTTAAACACTTTAGTGGCTATCTTGGGGAGGATATCAGGAAACTCAGCATTCTGAAAACTGATAATTTGAAGAATCAAAAAGTTTCCCTACCCTTCCTATAAGAACTGTATCTTGACAAATAGTTGATGTCAATAGCTGCTAATAACAAAAAGAGAGCAAACTAATTGGGTATTGGGGTCTTGGCCTGAGATGACCAATTTTCTCAGAAGTAAGACAACAGAATAAAACACAGACAAAACATTTATTTTAGTTACAAGGGCACCAGATGGCCAAAGCCCAATGACAGGCTAGGACATGGAACACTGTTGTTCTTGGCCCTTATTCAGTGTACAACATGATTGAGGGGGTGTGCTGGTGGGTTGCAGGAAGCAGTGGGGGTGAACTGTTGATGCAGTCAAGGTTCAAGAATTGAAGAACAATGCGTTTTTGGAAAAGCATAGGATCACGGTTAACTAGTAGTCCTGATTGTCTGCTAACTGCAATCAATTACTGAGCTGGATGGACAAGTCAAGACCTCAGCTGCTGTGTTATCTTGATTTGAGGCACCGGAACTTCATGGACTGCTTGCTAGTCTCAGCTCTGGCCATTGGCTTAATCTGTCCTTAAGCCAACAGGGGATCTCATCACAAGTCACAGAGGCCTAGGACAGACTCTCTATTTTTGTGCCAATTTATTAATATTAATTATTGCTTGTTATGTACTGCATCAGGCTGGTCCTCAGGAACTGGATTTTTCTTTCTTTTCTTTTTTTTTTTTTTTTTATTTTAAAGAGAATAAAACCAAACAAAATAAAACAGAGTAAAGCCAATCAAAACAAAGTAGTGAAAGTGGTATAGAATTTTGAAGCTGAATAATAGAATATCAACAATGGCTATCATAATATACCTTATTATCTTCACAATAGTTGCCCATTCCATCACACATAGTAAAATCAAACAAAACAGAATATAACCAATCAGAACAGAACATTGAATAAAACAAAACAATAAATTGAAACAAAACAAAACAATATTGGTTTTCAAAAACAAGACAAAAGGAAATTCCTCGTATTTGCTATATTGTGTACTGTTATCTCCTAATAGATGCTCAGATTACCAGCCTTATGCCTGCAAAGTCAATTAAACAATACAAACTTTTAGTTGTTTTTGTTCCTTAGTTGCTATTAGCTCAGCCAGTTGCTTGGGCAGTGGGGAGTATGGGTACCAGGGATTGAACTCAGGGACTGCGTGCCTGCAAGGCAGGCAGGCACTTATGCCGCTGAGCTAAATCCCCAGCCCCAGGTAGGGGGAGTTCTTGATTCTCAGCCTTTGTGCTGGTTGGCTCAAGGGAAGGTGAACTGGCTTATATCTTCCTGGGCCCCTTATGATTTGTGTGGCTTACTGGATGGGCAAACTGGTTTCTTGATATGCTCCTCCCAGACTCAGCTGGATTTTGCTTGACACAAATTCACACAACCTACTGAGTAGTCTTATACTAAGGCTGAATGTAATTGTCTTTGGTCCCTCTAAACAGAGCCTGATGTAAGGGCTTACATAAGAATGGCTCATTTTTAGGGGAAGATTGGGAAGTAAAACAAAAAAGGTGGGAAATTTGTCTAAAGAGGATTATTCAGATGGCCATCATTTTGGGTAGCCAAGGCCACCCCTTCAAGGAACTTACATTTGGTTTCTCAGCTATACCAAGAAACAGGAAGATATTTATCTACCAATTGTGACAGTGTAAGTCCTCCACACTTACAGTTTTGAATGGAAGAGTGGTCAGAATGGTCAGCCCCCTACACACTGGGAGAAAAGCTGTGAGCAGGAAGTGGGAGGGATTAGAGGGGCTGTCAGGTTGCACTGTGAGCAAACCAGGTTAGAGCTCAGAGATACAGCAACCTAGTCTTCCTTCTGTTGTAACCTAGTTTTAACCATTGCACCTCATTTCTGTTTTGTATGCGCCGCTCAGCACACCCCCTTCCCTTCCTATCTTTCTAGATTAAGTTTCAATTTCCTGAGAAAGCTTTAAAAGCCTTAGGCATCAGTTTCCTGTAACTCCCTCCCCTACCCCCATCCAGCTATCTGTAATAAAATGTGCTGTTCTTTAAGAAATGCTTAACTTCAAGGAAATTACAGGAGGTTCTGTAAAGCCCGGATGCTATCTAACTGTGTCAGCGATTACAACATTCCTGTGGTTTTCAGCTTTAAAAGCCTAATCTCCCAGCTGTAAGGCGCACAGTCTCCAAATTGGCTACCCGAGGCTGTGTCACCAGGCCTGGCCTAAAATAAAGCCTTTGCTCCCCAAATTTTAATTTCTTGCTTCCTTGGGTTTTATTCCAGGGTCCGACCTATCACACCTTCCAGGTGGGCAGCACATTAACTGACACCCAGGAATGCAGGCAGCAAAATCAGAGTGTGGGAAACTCCTGGCAAAACACTCAGTTGCTCCTGATAGAACTGTGGGGGACCGGCGGCGGCTGAAAAGATAAGAAGTATGAAATATAAATGACCTTTATTTTGAGAATGCGGGAGAGAATCCCCCCCACCATACCCTGGGGCGTGGCATCTCCCCCGGGTCAGCAATCTCTCTGTGGAACACGTGGAGTGGAGGCATATAAGTGGCCTAGGTTTGGGGTGGAACCTAAGGGGCATTAATGATGCACAGGTAGCCCATTGGTATTCTTTTGAAGTCATAGGTAAATTCCTAAGGGTGGGGGAGATGGAGCTCCTTGGTCCCACCTGAGGCTTTACTGGCTACAGTGTCCTGTCTGGGCCAAAACTCTTTCAGCTCCAACAAGGAAAAGGGACACAGCTCACTGAGAGCTGACCTGTGTCAGTTTACAGTGACATGTACATGTTATAGAGTCCAGATGCTGAAAAACAAACTGGAATGAACATTAGCAAACCAAGTCTACCTGAGAACTAGCTTCCAGATGATAATGTGAGATGATTCACTGCCTAATCCATTAGTAGGACTTGGAACAACATTGAGACAATAATAGCAAATTTAAGGGGAAAAGACAAATAAAGAAACATCTGTTCAAGAAGACCTGTGAAAATCCAGTAAGAGAGGCAAGAGAATGACACTAGAATGTGAGGCTCAGGGACACTCCATCAGACCTTGTGGCTCCTTCCTACAACACCAGAGGACTTTCTCCCTGCAGGGACAGTACTTCAGTGCCTGAATTCTGCCCCAGGGCCCTATTGTTGAGGCTGAGTGCTGAGTAGGTGTGACTGAGAACAAGGATTTCCTTTTGCCAGCATTCAGTCAAGGTGAGGTCCCAGACCCTGGTTCCCTCTCACAAGAGGCAAACTTAGATAGCTCAGGCTATGGCTCCTTCCCCAGTGGAGCTCCTGGAGCCCAAGGTCATTCAAAGGGAAGCTTTCTATGCCCTGACCCCCAGTTCCAGAGCACTGATTCAGAGATTTTACTTGGGGATGAGAAATATCTCAGAAAAATAGATTGTCACAGAAACCAGCTTCATTTGCAACCAAACATGAAGAGGACAAGTGTGGTGACTAGAGGTTGGAAAGACCTTGAGACACAGGCCAAATTGGAACCAGCTACTTTACAGGAAAGAACCATGCCAGTAATCCTATAATACCATATACAGGGCAGGCTGGGGTAGGAGGATAAGAGTTTTGAAGCTAGTGTGGGCATTTTATGAAACCTTGTCTCAAAATAAAAAAGGGCTGGGGACACAGCTTAGTGGTTCAGCACTTGCCTTGGAGGCAAGTGGCTCCAATCCCCAATACTGAGGGGAATAAAAAAGGGAAAGGATATGAAAGAAAATTAAGAACTGTAGACCAACAAATTAGAGAATGTAATTGAAATGAGATTACCAAAGAGATTACCAAAACTGATCCAGGAAGTAGACCATCTGAGCAGCCCTATAACGCAAAAAAGACATAAGAAAATGATCCAGGAAATAAAATTCAGGACTGAATAGTTCCACTACTGAATTCTACCATATACTTGAACAATTAGTATCAGTTTTCAAAAACTCTTCAAAAAATAGAAGAGGAAATACTTCTTCATTTTATAAGGCCAGTACTACTCTGATACTGTAGTCATATAAAGATATTAGAAGCAAAGCAAAGCATTGCCCAGAATCTTATGAATATGGACACAAAAAATCCTCAATAAAATGCTAGCAAACCAAATGTAGCAACACAGAAAAATAATTATACACTAACCCAGCAAAATACTATAACTAAATGGAATTTTTTACAGGAATGCAAGGCTGATTTAATATCACAAAATCAGTTATAACACTAGAAAAAATTATAAATCATCTCAATTGATGCAGAAAAATGACATAACAAAATTCAATACCCTTTCAGGATAAAGACAATCAAAAAGTTTGGATAGATGGGAGCTTCCTTGATCTGACAACAGACATCTACAAAAAGTGGATGATTTTTTTTAAGCCCTGAGATCAGGAGCAAGGCAAGGATATCTGTTTTTGCGATTTCTGTTCAACACTGTACTAGAAGTTCTAGCCGCCACAGTGGGGGATGAAAAAGTAACAGCTTCTAAATGGCTTGGTATTATATACAGAAAATTCTAAGAAATTCATTGAGAAAAGGACTAGAATTAATAATGAATTTAGCAGGTTTGCAGAACACAAAAATCAGCAAACAAAGTCAGTATATTTCTATACACTTATAATGAAAAATCCAAAAATGGAATTAAGAAAAATTCTATTCGCGATACAGTGAAAATGAATAAAACACTTAGGAATAAATTTAACAAAGTACAAAACTTATAAAACATTTCAAAGGAGTTGAAGAGTTAAATAAACTATAAAACACTTAGAAGAAAACATAGGAGCAAATATTTATGACTTTTGATTTGATGAAGAATTATTAGATGTGACACCAGAAATATGAGCCAAGAGAGAGAGAAACCAGGTAAACTGGACTTCATCAAAATGAAAATATTTTGTGTTTCAAAGGATTCCACCAAGGAAGTGAAAACAGAATCCACAGACTGGAAAAAAAATTTGCAAATTATATATCTGATGAGGGTTTAAGTATCCAGAATATATAAAGAATCTTTACAAATGAACACAAAATACAAGTGACACAATTTAAAAATGGGTAAAGAACTTTAATAAATGTTTCTCCAATTAAGAAATATAGCCAATAAGCTATACATGAAATGATACTCAGCATCATTTGTTGTCAGAAAACCACAAATTAAAATCACAATGAGACTTTATGCCCACCAGACAATTTTTTGCCAACAGTGTGGAAAAATCATGCCAGAACCCTCATGCCCTGCTCATGGGAATATAAAGCAGTGCAGCTGATTTGGGAAACAATACTGTAGCTCCTCAAACACAGTTGTCATATGATCCAGCAACCCATTCCTAAGTGTATACTCAAGAGCCATGGAGACCTATGCCCATACAAAATTTGGTGTCCAAATGTTCATAGCAGCATTTTTCACAATGCCCAAAGAAGGAAATACTTAAGCCCATTAACTGATTAATTGATCAACAAATGGTTTATATCCATATAATGGGAAATGTACACTGAAAACATTAAATGAATGAACACACACACACACACACACACACACATCTTACTCTATGTTTCCATTTCCACAAAATGTCCAGAACAAGGAAATCTACACACATAGAAAATAGACTCCTAACAGCTTAAGACAGGTTTTTTTTTTTTTTTTTTTTTTTTTTTTTTTTTTTAGTCTTTTTCATTTTTATTGGTACCGGGGGTCGAACTCACGACCGCCTGCTTGCAAGGCAGGTACTTATGCCGCTGAGTTAAATCCCCAGCCCCTTAAATCCCCAGCCCCTGGGCTTCTTCTTGAGGTGATGAAATGTGCTAAAAACCATAGTGAGGGTTGTGTATATCTGCAAACACACTAAACAGCACTGAGCTGTAAACTTCGGGTGGGTGAACTGTACGGAAACCTCAGTGCTCCTGGGTGTCTGACAACACGAAAGATAATATTATAATGTGGTGATGCTTTTTAAAATCATCTCTGCACCTTGGAGCATTTGCGAAGGAAATACTGTATGACCGCTAGGATTTGCTTCACAACAATCCAAAGAAGGGACTATTTTGGGTTCAGAGGAAACAGGATCATCTCTAAGCTGACAGTGGCTGAAGCTGGAGCTGAAGGCATGGAAGTTCATAATGCAAGAACCAACCACTGTGTATGTATGTGATTATGCATGGGCATTTTCCATGACAAAGGAAAAAAGGCTGAACCAGGCTGAGGTGTGAATAGTACCAAGAGAACGATCCAGGCTTGGATGAGAAGTTCATATGTAACCAAATCTTGTAACTGGCTGCATTTAAGGGACAGATGGTGCACTATTTACCTTTGCACAACTTTTGACAGAACTGTGACTCAAATCCACAGATATGAAGGAGAAGGCAGTCATTGTCTCTGCAGGAACACAATGATATTTTCCCAAAGTGACTTATGGAGACAAAGCTCACAAGACTTATCTACAGCAGTAGGAAACAGGCCAATGCTCACTGAAAACTGAGACCTTTACAGCCTGAAGAATAAGTGTGTCACTGGCCATGCTTTTGGGGAGCCCAAGAGTATCCTTTTAGCTGGGATGACTCTGCATGCAGAGCTGTTCCAGAACATCATCTGGGTGGACACTGATTCCTTAGCACAACTGCTGGCTATTGCAGTCCTCCATCTTTCACCAAAGCTGTTGTTTCCACAGGTTGCTGCTGAACTTAATGTTTTTATGCTTGTGGTACCTAGATTTTTTGGTGGGAGAGGGTACCAGGGATCGAACTCATGACCTCTCGCTTGCCAGGCAGACACTTATGCCACTGAGCTAAATCCCTCGCCAGGCACCTAGATTTTAAATAGTGATATTGTTAATATACCCTTTATTACCTTTTTATTTTTTTGCTTCACACTTGAAGTTGGATTTCTATTAGGAAGTCACAATTTACTTAACCCTGGAAAATCTGTAATTTCCCCCCTGACAGATCAAACAGGAAAACTATTTGATTATCTCAGTACATGTAGAAAAAGAATTTGATAAAACCCAACATTAATTTATAATAAGCTTTTTAGTACTCAGCTGCAGAAAAGATCCTTAAAAATTTGGAAAATGCATCCAGAAAAATACAACACAAATACCTTGCATCTGCTAAAAGCACCTAATTTGTAAGTCCCTTCAATTTTAGTTGTAATTATCTCAAAAATTTTGATGACTTGAGAATCATAACAATCAACACATTATTTTGACCAATGAAAAGCTCTCAAGTTATTGAACTTAAACAATATGTATTGTATTTGAAAAATCAGTCTCAGCATCATTTTGATTAGTTGTCAACCTAGGTTTAAATATTATAGTACTTAGACAGGATAAAATCTCTCCCTGGGAAGGGAGCTAGACTTTTAGGCATAACCAAAAGGAATGAGTGAAGAGAAAGTTATGCTAGTTACAGTCTAACTGAGTTATTTTTCCTGCAGACTCATTTTATTGAAGTATGATGGCTAGAAGGAAGGCCAGGGTTGAAGAGAAGGGCAAAGAGATATGTTTCAATGTCTAGCAATAGGCTGGTTTCTTTTCCCTCTGTAGTCATGATTACCCAGGGCTCCTCTAAGGAGAGGTAGAGATGACAGTCCAGGCAGAGGGAGAAGGCAGAGTACCTTGGGCCTTTTAGTCTTTCTAGACCACTTGGAAAAAAAAATATGAGCTCTGGGTACACAGCCTCTTAAAAGCATCTAATTTAAAAACCAGAAATGAAACAAAGATGAACTCTTTCCAAATGCTTCTGTCCATGCTCATGCCAGAGGTTCCAGCAGCACAGTGAAACAGTAGAGAGTGCACCATGCTGTGTAGCATCAGCACATCCAGCACTGTCCCAGAGGAGTCTAAATAATCCAGGACTGTAGTCCTGTCCTCCTGCAGGGGCTCAAGTTTGCCTCCAGAACAATCTTTGCTGTCTGTGTGCAAAAACCAGTGCTCACTGAAGATAGAGATGACTCCTCATTCTGACAAATTTTCCAAGTGCAACCTGGAAAAAATAACACCTCACAAATGCTTAAAGGAATAATGTAGTTTTTTTGGTATCAGGATTTGAACTCATGTCCTTGCACTTGCCAGGCAGGCACTGCATGCTATGGCTTTATAACATAACTTAGAAGTGCTAAGGCATTCCTTTTTCTCATCTTACCATTTCTGAAATTCAGCATCTTGTCACTGGCCACCATATGGCTTAATTCATTGCTTGATTTTTTTCTTAATACAGAATGCATTATAAAACCATCAGAAATAGCAACAACTGTATGTTTAGGTGGCATTTTTAGATGATCACTTTCAAAGTGAACATGGAAGGAGGCTGGGGCAGGAAAATCATTGTGAGTTCGAGACCAGCCTAGGCTACAAAGTGAGCTCAAGGCCAGCCTGAACAGCATAGAGAAACCCTGTCTCAAAAAGACAAAAACAAACAAACAAACAAAGTGAACATGCAAGTACTAGAGCTTCAGGCCATCTAGATAGCATTAATTATTATTGCACCAGGAAAACAGTGCAGTCCATTTATTCTGAAATGATACCTGAGGGAATGTACCAAGTTGGGGACTGGAAAGGCGTGGGGGCCACAAAGATCAGAAGAGAACATTTCTCTTTCCTCAGCACCTGGCTAATATCAGTTAATGTTTACTGAATTTTAGAAATGTAGAAAAGATAATCTTTTACCTTTACAGTTTATTGGAAGGAAGTATGGCTAGAGGTGTTTCCTTGCACATAAAATTGCTTCTTGGCAGCAGCTTAAGTAGCTGGTTAGCTTTTCAGAAATCGCTTTGTCCTCTAGATCTTTAGGATGATGTAGTCTGCTGGTCAGATTTTGTGAATCCCTTTCCAAAAATGCCATGAGTAAGACTGACTAGGCCCTATCCTCTGAGGGGTCCACACCACTGTTCATGCCAGAGGTGGGGCTGAAAGCAGATCCCAACATATCCAAAAGAATGAGGGCTATTACAGGCAGCTAGCAGGGGCTCTGTGGGCTGGCCACGTGTCAGATGGTGTCTAGATGAGCCGGCCCCATCCAGAAGGTATGTGAGCCCACTGTTATCTCCCCACTCCCCCTGGATGTGACTCTGATATCAGGAGCCTGGGTGCTGTTTTCCAGGCCTTGGATCACTCTTTTAATGAGATATGAGATGCCATTGGTAGTGGTGGGCTTAAGGGGGTCTTTCACAGTCTGGTCCTCTATACTTTGGCTCTGCTAGAGATCACCATAGTCCATACCATCTTGCCCACTAGGCATCCCTGGATCATACAGCCCTGCACCTAGAAGAAACATGGTCTTCCCTAACCACCACTCTGGCCACTTTGTCACATGGTCTCCTACCCAGATCACAAACTCCTAAGGGCAGGGCAGTGATTTCAAGTTCACCGATGGAGGCTGAACATAGATAACTGAAAGGGCAGACAGGAGACCAGGAAGCTGGGCCTCAAAGTGTCCATCTGTAAGGTGATGGGGAAGCAGAGAGAAGGGTCATAATGGTTTATCCTTTCCTGGCTCTGGGCCACCTCTGACTTTCATATACCTCTGACTTGGTGATACACAGGCTAAATTCATCAGAAGCACACAGCTGGAGGCCCAGCCAGGGTTTATACAGAACCTGTCCGATAAGAAGGCTGAGGAATCAGCTGTCTTTTAAAAAAGTCTCTCTTGAAAAATTCACCTCAGCTTTGTCCTGAAAGCAAACACTACTTATGCAGTAACAAGAGCTACTGGCATGATGTTTAGGCATTTGCATGTCTCACCTTCTAGGACCCCAGAGCTGGGCTCCTCCTGGGGGAATCAGGACACCAGGCTCAGTGGAGATATCTGGGGAGAGCTTCCATCTTTATTCTGGGTCAGAGAAGGTTATAGAGAGACAAATTAGCAAGTTATTCTTTCACTTAGTTCAGAAAATTCTGAGTCAGCCCTAAGGGATCTGGCACTCTTGATTTTAAGGCCCCATGGGGTCATTTATATGCCCTCAGCTAGCACTTACTATATGGATAAAGATAAGCTACCAGGCAGCCAGGCTGCCCGTGCAGACCCCTGCTCCATTGGAATGGGTACAGAATGCTTATTTTCCTCCTCTGTTGGTTGGTTTCAGAATTATCTCAGAAGTCTTCACAACTAGCCGGGTGCTTCTGGGAGGCTGAGGCAGGAGGATAACAAGTTTAAGCCTGGCCCGTGCTGGTTAGTGAGATTCTGTTTCAAAATAAAAAACGTAACTCAATTCAATTTACAGCACACACACACACACACACACACACACACACACACACGCATGCACGCACACACACATACACACACGCACACACAAACAAAACACCCTAAAAACAAATACCATGACTGAACCATAAAACTAGGTCCTGACTTACCCAGTGTCTCTTAGGAACCTCAGGATATAAGTACCCACAGAAGTTAAAAAGCAGCAGGGATGTCTGACGTGAGGTGTTGGTTGCTGCTGAAGCTCAGCCTGTCCCCTCCCCAACCTCTTTTTTTATTGTAGTATTTGCAGACCAAGAGTGCGTCTGCTGACCAGAGCACTGGGGCTGAAATAGGCTTTAACAGTGCAGGGTCCATCATTTTCCGGCCTTCTAGCTAAGATCAAGTACAACTCAGGCTCCAGCACATACTGGCAAGCACCTGAAGGGGTGGACACTTTGCTTTCAATCATTTTATTTTAAAAACCCAAGAGTTTCTGTTTTCTCAGCAATGCAGGGAGAAAGTCTAGTGGACATCAACAGGCAATTTGGTGTATCATTATCTGCAGTGTCAGGTGTTTTTAACCAGAGCAGAAGAATGCAGTGAAATTTGTGCATCTACTGTTTTCTTGTGACATGGTCACACAGAAGCCTGTTGAGTACTTGTGCAGGGTCCTTCCCTCCTGCGTGGTAGGAGGACCCCAGACCAGTGCCATCACCCCAAACTCTGCAGGGATAGTCTGGAATTCCTTCCTGGTTCAGAGCCTCCCCTCCAGCGGAAAGTAGGAGATGGGAGGGAAGGAAGGACTTGTTCACCTTACCCACTGCTATCCACAGGAGAGCTTGTATACACTCACAGCACACTTTATCCTTAAGCCTCCAGATTCTAGCTGAAGATAACAGGGAAAATGGCTGCTTTTTTTTTTTTCTTTTTGCATCTCAGGGACAGGCGCGTCAAGGGTTCTCAATCCTGCGTGGAGGAGGAACGCCCCACAGGGGCAGCTCCTCGTCATAGATGAGATCATACACAGAACAGTATTTTCCTTCCTCGGGTGAAGCCAGAGGCGTCCCATTAGTAAATGAGCTCAATGCAGTACAAAGCAGCAGCAAAAGGATCAGCCTAGTGTCCCTGGCCTCTGGGGCAAGTTAGAGCTCTCCGTGCGGGGTACCCGGGAGATTCTTATTTGCGCCTAGGGCACCAGCCGGCAGAGGGCGCGAGGTCCGTACTGATCTCTCGAGGCCCCTGGCCCACGCCACGACCCTAAGGAGCGTCTCCCCTAGGTTTCTGTCTTTCAAACTCTAGAGCAGACCCCCTCGATCTCTTCCCCTCACTGCCCACTCCTACGACGCAGTGTTTGCCTTGGACTCACAGAATAGTCTATATTTTTAAAAAATGATAAAATTCTCTAAATTAAGAGTGAAAATTTCCATTTTACCTAGACATAATAAATCGAGTCATGATGAAAATAGTTTCTTTCTAGCTATCTCAGCACCAGATTATTTTAATTGCTTGTTTTGGAATTCGTTTCTCTCCGCAGTTCAAAACAATCTCGTAGATCTTTCTGCGTGTGCGTGGTCACCTGGAGAGGCATCAGACCAGCGGCAGGTCCCCTGCAGAAACCTCAGAGAACTTTGTTGATTCCTTTGTAAAAAGTAGGAAGAACTGTTTTGTTTCCTTTCGAGGCCACTTTATGAAGCTCTTTTCATCGCCTTTCAGAAGTTTGGTACTAACATAATTTTAAGAAAAATTTAAAATCTAAGATAATCACAAATAGGCTTCAAGAATCAAATATAGCATCTAGCAAATTTTAAAAAAGGAAAGATAAAATCAAAACGAACATAAAAAAAAAAAAAAAAAGAAACCCAGAAAGTGGTATCGAAACACTGGCAGTTACCAGGCGCAGCGTCGCCGAGTGTGCAGGAGTGGTGGGCGGCCGGGGCCGAACCTGCGCAGACTCACGGAACAACGCCGCCCTCGCGCCGGCACCGCTGCCCGACTGACCCCAGCCTCAGCCTAAGACAGGTAGTACAAGCCACAAGCGGCGGCCGGCCTCGCCAGGACCCCGGACACCGGCGGTAGAGCGCTAGGCGCGCCTCGGTGCAGCGGAGCGTCTAGAGGGAAAGGCGGGGAGAAACAGGGCAGCAGTGGCTTGGCCGCCAGCTTCAGCTTCTCCAGCTCGGCCTCCTGCAGCCGCTTGGCTTTGGCTCGGCGGTTCTGAAACCAGATCTTGACCTGCGTCTCGGTGAGGCTCAGGCTGCGAGAGAACTCTGCACGCTCAGCGACGGACAAATACTGCTTCTGGTGAAATCTGCGCTCCAGCGCTAACAGCTGCGCTGTGGTGAAGGGCGTTCGCGGTTTGCGGGTGTTCTTGTGTTTTCCGAGGGTGCAAGGGGGAGGGCTGAGGGCACCTGAGAGAAAAGAGAAGCACAAAGCGGCGCTCAAAAACCCGCAGTTCGCCCCTTTCCAGAGCTGCCGAATCCCAGCGACAACCGCTTGTGGGTGCCAGTTGTCACGCCGTGACTTTCAGCTTGGGAGCCAGGACGTCCCAAAGGCCACCGGGCTAAGCAAAGCAAGGGCCGCGGAGGAGGAGATGGGGTAGCCGTCCGATACTGCTACCCAGATCCGCCGCTCCGCACCCCAGGGTGCGCGGGGACCGTACCCTTCTGAAAAGAGCGAGAAGCAGACGTCAGCTGTCGCGGGAGCACTCGGATGGGCCGGGGTGCTGAGGCAAGAGGGGCAGGCACTCGCGACTCACACGCTTGGCTGTCGTGGGACCCGGGAGCCTTTCGGACCTGGGGGCGCTGTGGGGGTCGGGGAAGGGTGTATTTCGCCCTTGCCCTCAGGCGGGCAGCGTTACTGGCTGGTTACTTCCTTAAGTTAAGTCTTTCGATCCAGGGTAGGGCGGGCCCGGCCGCTCTTGGGGACCGCGAGGTTTGGCACTTACGTGGGGTGCGCGTGCTGGCAGCGGGCAGAAGCCAGGGTCCGGGCCCTGTGTCACCCGGGGCTCTTTCCTCCGCAGACTCTGCAGGCTCCGAGTCCGGCCCGCGCTCTGCCTCCAGCAGCGATTCGACGCTGAACGGCAGGGGGTTGGACCCGGTGCCGTCCCCGCCGCGCGCCCTGAGCCCAGCGGGGTTCATGGCCAATGAAGCCGGTGCCATGCGTGGGGCGGCGGGCGCTGCTGGCCCGGCTGGATGCGCTGGACATAGGCGCAGAACGCAGAACTTTTACCCCAGGTTCGCAGTACTCAGACCCACCGCGTGCTATAAAAAGGTGGCTCGGCTTTCATGCGCCGCTCTCCAATAGTGGCGCGGGCGATGTGCGGGGCTTAGAGTCGGTTGGCTTCGCCGCCCTAGAAGGCGGGACAGACGGAAAAAGGCGGGGCTGTAGCCAGGGACCCCAGATTCCGGGCGCTGGCTGGCCTGGCCACACCCGGACAGCTGTGCGAATTGCTCGCGCTCCTACTGCAGGGAAGGTGGAGGGGCGCCCGATGCTGTGTTGAGCCTCCCCAAGTCAAGCACCAACGGAAGGCTTGAAACATCCGCCTGTGCGGATGCTGTAACTTGGAGGTCCCTGAGCCGTCTGCAGCTTGTCCCGACACCTCCTGCGGAGTAGTTCTGGGTGGCTCTTGCTCAAGTCTTCCTAACGTACCCCAGACTTGGGCACAGAATCCCGTAGCGTTCCTACATCACTGTCTTGCACACTGAAGGCTGCATGTGACAGACCCTGAGCCGGGACGGGCAACTCCTCTTCCTTCCCCGTGAAGCCTTATCTGTGGTCCTGGATTGGCTCTTGGGTCTCTGGAGCGGCTGAGCATTTTCCTGAACAGGCCTGAGCCCTAGAAGCTCCCCGCGGCGCTGTCGCAGGTCCGTGGGCAGATTCTATAGCCCAGTCATAGAGGTGGAGCTCTCAGACTCGGGTGCTCTCCCTCCGCAGGTACCCAACCCAATCCTCCGGGCTCGCCCTCAGAAGATTCTGGGAAAGGGTCCTGGACTGCGCGGACCGACCTGGAAACAGCCTAGGCCTTCCCAGAAGCTCCTGAGTACCACACTGGCACCTGGGGTAAGAAAAGGAGAAGCCCAGGCTAATTTTTTTTTTTGTGTGTGGAACTTACAACCTTGCGCTTACCAGGCAAGTGCTTGAGCCATTGAGCTAAATCCCCAGCCCTAGGGACTTGAAATTTTGAAGCGTTCTTTTTTCAAAACCTACCATCGAACCCATCAACCTGCTGCAAAGCGAGGTGCCTCTGGGCACTCTTATGAAAGATTTTGGAATACATCGTGAATTAACTTGGGCTAACAACTTTATGTCTGATTAATACCTAGAAAAAGCAATTTATAACACATAGAGATTCAATCCCAAGGCCTTCCAACTGAGCTATATCCTCAGCTCTTTTTTCATTTTTTAGAGAAAGTCTTGCTAATTTATTAAATTGCCCAGGCTGAGCTATAAATTTCTGTCCTTCTGCCTCTGCCTCCCAAAGTACTGGAAATATAGGCATGTGCTACAAAGACCAGTTGATACATGTCTATTTTTTTAAAAAACACACACAGCTGCCTTAGTGAAATCCAACTTTTGAGGACAACTTAACTGTCCAGCCCCAACAGAGCTATTAAATTATAAAGTTTTCCTTCGTACATTTTTTTGTTTTTGTTTTTTTGGAGACAGAGTTTATGGTTTGTACCTAGATGTCCCCCCAAGGTCTCATGCAGTCATGAGGGCAGGCTCCTAGAGTTTGTGGTTGATCCATGGCAAGGTCTAATGTTGGGATTATGGGTGTGAATGCTACACCCACCAGGGTGCAGGTAGCCTGCATATAGTACAAGGAAGGGAAAGAGGCTTGCTCTCTTGTTCTTCCCCTTTTTGCTCTTGTTGCTTTTGCTGCCTTTTTCTGCCATAAACTTTTGCTTTTCTTCCATGCCGCCATGTCCTGGAGTCAGCTGATTGCGGACTAGAACTTCCACAAACTTCCTTAATTTTGGGCATCAGGTATTTTGTCTCAGCAACAAGAGAAAAATGACCATCAAAGAATTTGGTACTAGGGAAGGGGGGATCATTGCTGTGACTGTACCTGACCATGTAGTTCAAGAGCCTTTGGGAATGGCTATTGGAAAGAATTTCTGCTTAGATGTCCCCCCAAAGCCTCATGCAAAGGTTCAGAGATGTTGCCTGAAACAGTAACACTGGAATGCCTTAGGCTATCCTATATGGGAGATTCTGGTCAGAGCTCAGAAGATCAGAGTGCTGACAGAAATTCTACAGACCAGATTTGGTTTCTGCTAGGAATAAACCATGCATTTGGCTGCTGGAGTACAGATAATATATGTTATGGCTTGACAAAAAGTTTGTCTGCATTTTGTCCAGAGATTTTGCCTGAGACTAAAATTATGGGTAGTGGACTAATTAATCTAGCATAAGAAATTTCAAGGCAGTCTAATATTATGGTGGTGGCATGGCCATTGTTGGGGGCTTTTAGTCAGATATATTGAGAATCAAGAGTACAGAGCCCAGCAGAAAGATTTAAAATGTGAGTTTGGCCAGAAAGGAATCTTCAGTAAAGCTGTGGACCAAAAAGATAGAGCTAAGGAAATCTTGATTGCTAATAAGGAACCAGATGGTAGGAAAAATGACCTGAGGGCATTACAAGAAGCAAAAGGACTCCACCCTTTACAGCTTCAAAATTGCAAAAGTGAAATATTTTGCTTTGGAAGAAAGTCTCAGAGCACCAGATGCCAGAACGGCAGCAGTAGCACCTTGTTCCAGAATGGTGGCAACCACATCATGTTCCAGAATGGTGGTGGCCTAGAGAATTTTATTCCTCGGAATTGATTTCAGAGTGCTTAGTGATCCAGATACTTGATCATCTGGCTACTGCTCCAGTTGGCAGCAGACTGTGGCATCATTTATGTGGTACTGATTTTAGGCACATGCAAAATGCAAGAGTTCTGAGGTTAAAGAAGCTTCTACCCAGATTTCAAAAGAAGGCTTGGGAGGCCAGGCAGTGTACCTGTGAGAGAGCAGTGTGTGAAGCCCTGAGGGTGAAGACAAAGGTACACTGGAAACCCCAGAAGGGATGTGTCTTTGAGGAACAAAGGGTGGAATGTTACAGTTTGTGTCTAGATGTTCTCTCAAAGCCTCATGTAATCACGGTGGCGGCAGCGGTGTGTGTGTGTGTGTGTGTGTGTGTGTGTGTGTGTGTGTGTGTGTGTATAATAGGCTTCTAGAGTTTATGATTGATTCATGATCCAGTGCTGGGATTATGGGTGTGAGTGGTACACCTGCCCGGGGGCAAGAAGTCTGCATACAGTATAAGGGAGGCAAAGAATCTTGCTCTTACTCCTTTTTTTGCTCTTATTTTTGCTGTCTTTTGCTGCCATGAACTATTGCTCTTCTGCCATGTCATCTTGCCTTGGAGCCAGCTGATTATGGACTGAAACTTTCACAAACTGTGAGTTTAATAAACTTTTCCTTCCTTAATTTTGGGTGTTGAGTATTTTGTCCCAGCAATAAGAAAAAAGTAACCAACATACAGGATTTCACTATGGAGTTCAGGCTGACTTTGAACTTACTTTGTAGCCCAGGCTGGCCTCGAACTCTCAGTGATCTTCTTACCTCAGCCTCTTGAGTGCTGGGATTACAAGCATATGTCACCATGCTTGGCTTCCTTCATACAAATTTGGAAGTTGATGGAAGGGACCCTCAGAGGGCTCCTGGCTGGCTAGGCCTAATGTCTAGTAGAGACCAGCTCTTCCTCTATTCATAGGCTTATGGTCCCTTTCCAATGTAGTAAAAAATGCTCTAAGTTGGTTGAAGATAACTGCATCATGACAGCACTTTCTCTGAAGGCCTCTCTGTGGTTGTTTACCTTTTTTTTTTTTTTTTTTTGTCTTTTTCCTTTTTACCCGTACCGGGGATCGAACTCACGACTGCCTGCTTGCAAGGCAGGCACTTATGCCGCTGAGCTAAATCCCTAGCCCCGACGTTGTTTATCTTTACCAGGCCATTTATAGGAGGGTTCAAAGAATTTTACTAAGAATGCAGAAGACTGGCCTGGTCTGCCCTGTGTCCATCTGGGATACTGCAAATGCAGCTTCTGAGTAGAGGAAGCACAAGCTTGCTACAGCCTAGCATGCCCACCTGGAAAGGAAAAGCTCAGGGGTTAGGAGAAGCTTAGCTGGGCAGTGTTCTTTCCTGCCAACTAGTAGGATAGTTCTTCCTTGGGCTTGCCCACTTCCCAGTGTATCCATATTGGCATTCCTCTTGGCAGCCATGCCAGCTGCAGTATGGTTCCACTTCACCCAGAAGGCCACGGATGAGGGAAGGGACAGCACATCAGGATAGTCATGAAAAACTAGGCCACAATACAGCACAGACAGGTCTTCCTGACCGGGTATCTCCTGTGCCCATTGTGGCCTGGCTGGCAGAGGGCAAGGATAGTACGGGTAAAAAGGGACACTTTGGGTTAACATGCTGGTTTTGGGTGTAGAAATCTGAGTTTACAAGCAACGAGAGCCTGAACACTGTCTGGTCAGCAGAAAAGATGGGGATCCCCAAGGGCCCTGGTCCTCCCAGAAAGGTCAGAAAGTTGACACAGACTTTGGTAGTAAAGAAGTTCCTGAAACCAGCTGACCAGCTCTGTGCCCCTGGAATGGTGTAGTAAAACCCTGAAGGTTTCCATTCAGCTCTCTTGGGCAGACACATTCTGAAGTTTGAGGGAAGTCATTTCCTTCTGGTGTCTGGGGCTTCTTTAATACTGACTTCATACAGACAAGTGCATGCAGATCATAGGGCTCAAAAGGGCTTCCAAGTGGGATGAGAAAATTGCTGAGAATAAACTTCCTTGTAGGGTTTACACAATACATTTGCACTGTGGCAGGGCTAGAGAAGCAGCTCTCCCTCTTTGGGTTTGGACAGGAGAATGGCTTTGTGCTACGTATTTCAAACTAAGACCACTGCAGACCATGCCATGTGATGAAGATGATGAGTCTTGTGAGTCATCAAGCTGCTCAAGCTAGCAAACTTATAATTCTGCCTCAGCCTTTCAGGAGCTGATGTTACAGACTTGTGCCACCTCCTAGCCTGGCTGTATCTAGTCTTTCCTTTTCTTCCATTTCTAAACAAATTTACATATGTTTGGAATACATAGTAAAAACGTTCATCATGGGGAATCAGTCCATATACATATTGCATGTTGATGCTTTTTACTTTCCTTCTCTCTCTTTTTCTCTTGCCTCCTCCATCTCTCTATCCACTGCATCTCTCTATCCACAAAGTCTATCTTCCTGTTTCTTACAATCAGTCTTTTGTTTTGCTTCTAAATTATTTACACTTTGGGTTTATCATATAAGAAATCTGTGATATTTAATTTTCTGTACCTGATTTATTACACTTAATATGGTCTCAAGATCCATCCATTTCTCT